ATTCAAGACACACAAATCCTTAATATAAAACAATATTTTCTACAAAAAGCCCACAACATCACAGAACCGCACTCCTAAGTTTCTTTCTACTCCTTTTTCTTTCAAAATCTGATCCACTCATTAGTAACATTAAAAATATAGTGAATGTTGGATTTATAAATGTCTATGTCTAATTTATTAATATAAGGTAGCAATACTTGTAAAACCAAGCAAATAATCCAAGTTCATTTATTTCTTTGGCTACATTATTTTATTTAACATTTTTGTCTTACATAATAAATAAGCAAAAGAAGCTTTACAATTTAAGGGCATAAATATACAATCCAAAGCAATAATAGGTGGTATGTATTTTTGTGTGTTTCTTTTTCCACATAAATTTTGTCTATGAACTGATTTTTGTATTGTACCATTTGAAAGCAAATTCTCATGTTTTAAAAGCTATTCATCAGTTTGGTCTCAAGAAGTAATCAGATTGGGATAAATACTATCATTGGTGGTAGGCTTTCCATTTGCTCATACAAGTGTCCTTGATTTTATGAGTGAGATTATAATCCTAAACACACTTCCTAGAAAGTAAACTCTGTGGAACATAGTGAGATTTATTTCCAAATAATCATGCATAGGGCTTATACTGTAAGAACTTTAAAATTGTTGACTAGTTTACTGACGTTGCTGAACTTTTAAAGTTAAAATAGATTTTTGGAAGGAAAGAGAAAACTTATCAAGTTGGGTTCAGCAGAGTGGCGTATTATGAGGCACACCTAAATGCAGCATTTCTGTTGCTATGATACAACATCAGTGCTGTCCATATCTCACTTGCCATTTTTTAAAAATTGAGCTCTGCAACATATTTTCATAGATTTGTTTAGAGTAAAATAAATGATGGAGGAAATAGAAAAGAAAGTTCCCACTTTGTGCTTCCTCCCCAGATTGAAGTTTCCACTACACGTAAATTAGCATTTAGTTCCGTTGCTGTTCTTAACTAGCATTAGTAATTCTCAGGCAGGCTGAAAGAACAATCTACACACTATGGGTTTATCCCCTGCACCATCCTGACGAAGGCAGGGGAATCCTCAAAATTCTGTTAGTATCATTGACTCCTCCATCTCTCTCTTCCATTTTTTTCCTGCTGTCTATCCAACTGTCAAGCTTTTAATTTCTCCTAATTATACAACCACTCATTTCAGTTTCACAACAAAACCTTTTGCAGTTATTTAAATCATCTAAGAATTAAACCTTGACTTCTGTAGTTAGTGAGGTGACAAAAAGTATAAGCAAAGTGAACGTGGAGACATTAAAGACAATTGTTGCTTGTCTACTGAGAAAAGGAGGAATGAAGCCGAAGACTATGAGCATGGTCATCAGATGGACACAAAAGGTCAGTAGACGGAGGATAGAGGTGTTCAGGATAAAAAAAATACTATAAAATACTTATTCCTCAAACAAAATTGAAATTGAGAGTATCTCTGCAACAACAGATGATGCAGTAAGGCAGGTTAAAGAAAGTCCTTCATTATGTGGCTGATGTGGGCTATGATGCAATGGCAGTTGTAGCCAGACCTATTTTGGTAACTGCCTTATTAACTAGAAGAGCATTGCACTTAAAAACTGCGATGCTGACTAGAAATTGAGGTCAAATCTTGTGAACATCCCATACAGAGGAAAATTGTTATTTGAAGGAAAATGTTAGAAAAAGGATGTAAGGACCAGGCACTGACTTGAGAAAGATACTGGTAGGAGGGAGATTTCTTTGTTTTGGTCGCTTGTGGAACTTAATAACTTTAAACAAATGGTTTCTTCAGGTGGCGACAGTAAGATTCAGCATTCAGGCAAACAGGCTCTTTAAGCCTTGTCAGTTTACAGCTTCTGGTTTCACTGCAGTTATCCTAAGAATGCAGAACTAATTGCCTCCTACCTTGCAAGGTGTAATAGCTGAGCCAGCACAGTGCTAGACTTACTTGCTTCTGGCAAGATTTTAAAATTAAAACAATATGTTTCCATAGATGTTATTTTCATTTCATTACTATGCTGTTATTAAGTATTTTATTTGATGTTATTGTTTGTTTTATATATACTTTTGCTTTATTGTAATTTGTTTGGGCTTGGCCTCATTTTGGCCTCCCCAAGTCCCTCCAGGGAGATGGTGGCAGGGTATAAATAAAAATTATTATTATTATATAGATGGCGGTTTAGGCATTACAAAACAGGTATTTTGGCAGTACCATGGTTTCAGTGTCAACAACATTCTATATAGAGTGTCAGCATCATTTGGAGATGTCTTTAAAGTGGTGATATGGAAGGAGCCATCCACATTTAACCACCACCACAAAGTAGACAAGTGTAAATCAAGTCAGGCAGCCTTTGGCGAAACAGTAATGATGCAATGATTCAACAGGATAGTGGTGGTTAGTAAAGGTTTCCCCTGACATTAAGTCTAGTTGTGTCCAGCTCTGGAGGGTGGTGCTCATCTCCATTTCTAAGCCGAAGAGCCGGCATCTGTAGACACCACCATGGCTGACATGACTGCATGGAGTGCTGTTACTTTCCCACCAGGGTGGTACCTATTGAGTTACTCATATTTGCATGTTTTCGAACTGCTAGGTTGGTAGAAGCTGGGCCTAACAACGGGAGCTCACCCCACTCCCTGGATTCGAATTGACAATCTATCGGTCAGCAAGTTCAGCAGCTCAGCGGTTTAACCCGCTATGCCACCAGGGGGCCCTGTGGTAGTTAGACCTGCCCAAATGGTTGAAGCGAGATAGATTGCTCCTTCAGGCTGCCTGGGAACGATAGGTATTTGATATCAAGGGAAGCTGAAGGAGCAATCCATGCCAACAATATTAATGGAAAAAACATTTTAAAGACTCTTGCTTTGATCAAATTGGTGCAAGGGATAAACCCACAGGTTGTACCTTTAGCCTTCCTTGAATGATTGCCCACAGTGGGTGTCGACCATTCACACATTATGGATATTGATAGATGCTAATACTTGCTTGAATTTTCATATCTGCATATTGCTCAGATTTCAAATGTAAACATGTCCTATTGGTGTATGAGACAATGGATGGAATATTTTTCTTAAATTGAATCGCTCACTTGAGCATGAAATAAGCAGTTTCTTAAACAAAATTAAAATGTGCAGTTCATGAAATATGTTCCTCCAGTGTGGGAGAAACTAGCATAAAAGTCTCTTTGAAGAATATAAATGAACTACTATGATACATTATCTATCAGATTTGTTTTATGAAGCATGTAATTGTTAGAATCTCATCAAGAAACTCCTTTATAGGTAGAAAAATGAAAAACAACATGTCTCATAAATACATTCCTTCAGGACTTCATCTGAATGAACAGAGGAATGAGAATTGTTTGAAAAACTAAATCAACTTATATTTGATAATAGATTCAAAGCATGGCGTTGTGAAAGGATCCACTTACAAAAGCTTCTTTATATCAAGGACTTCTCGTGCTAAGAGTGTTGCTGCTTTTTTCCAGCAGTATTGCTAAAAGGCATCAAACTCATACCACCTTCCTTGCAAAGGCTAGAAGGTATTTTTGTTTTCCTGACAGGAAATATATCTAGCTCTGTTAACATTAAATACAATACAGAAATGCAATTACAAACTGAAGTCTTCTGACAAGTTGAAACTGCCTGAGTAAACATGTTCCTAAAGCTTGACACTTCAGCCAAGGACAGCACCACTTTGGTGCAGTAACATACAAACAATTACATTGCTATGCAAGTTGAGGCAGCGGCTAAGTTCTCCAAGGTTGGCATTACACACTTGAGAACCAGGTTTTGGTTAGAAAAGAAAAGGCATGTAATCCTTTGTGCTTCAGTGAAAGTTATTAAACTTGCAAGTCATTTGTGGGAGACCTTGTGTTTTCATCCTTATTTCTCTAATAATGGTTTTGGTCATTGATTTTGCAAAGATTTACTAAATCCAGTTTCTAAAATATTCCTGCTGGCTTCAAACACTAAAACAATGCCTACAGACCCAAATTTCAACCCACTAATAGATTGTTGCATATTTAAACTGGTGCTGTCTATTAGAAACATTCACATGTGCGGTTTGAGGCCTATTTTCATGTGTGTGATGCATCTAGGAGACAGTACACAGATAACCAGTCAATTACAACACGCAGCTGACATTACCAGCTTTCAGCATACTTGCCCCTTCAATGAATACCACATAAATGAGAACAGACCAAAACTTTTTTTGTGAAATGCATGTCAACTTTTAACAAACCATTAAAACTATGCAGCCTTGAGCTTTCCTTCAATACTGTTTTCTACAAATGTAGATTTAGGCAAAAATGGTAGCCAGTTCACCTGGAAGTATTTCCCCTTTGAAAGATGATCAAGAAAGAGACAGAAAAAAACAAGGCCAAAGGGAACATTCACCCCCAAATGTACAAAGCTAGATGCCTCATCACACTAGAGAATGAATCCACTTTAAATCTGGTTTCTGCCTCCTGCAGAACTCTGGGGTTTGTTGTTTAGGGAGGATGTTAAAGCCTCCTCCCTAAACTATAAATCCTAGTATTCTGCAGGAGGCAGCAACCGGATTTAAAGTGGATTCATTCTCTAGTGTGACGAAGTAGTAAAAGAATTACCTGCAGTCCCATGGAGGGCATGTTGACTGGGAACAAGGTGCTTTTTCTTCTCAGCAACTTTGTGTCCCAGAGAAGCCTACCTTACACTTTGGGAGTTACTGGCATCAACTCAAGGCACTCTTGAACTCCATTTGAACTGGTCTGAACATGGCTTTGTCACAATTTAATATATATGCCCAACACAGTTAAGTTTTTTAAAAAAATAACATGATAAACTTGTTTCATTAGAAAAACAAACTGTGACACTAGAAAAGGGAATGCTTTGCATTGCAGAAAACAAAAGAAATTATCTTATTAAGAAAATACCTTTCAGGTTTCACTGAAATAGTATAGCTCAGGCATGAGCAAACTTTGGCCCTCCTGGTGTTTTGGACTTCCAACTCCCACCATTCATTACAGCCTACTGCTTATTAGGAATTGTGGGAGTTGAAGTCCAAAACACCAGGAGGGCTGAAGTTTGCCCATGCCTGGTACAGCTAATGATGTTATTTTTTAATACTGTATGAAGTACATTAGATATGAATTCTGAAGGAAATAACCTTAAAAATTGGTTCTGACTCTTCACAAGTTTATGGCTTATTGTACTGCAGAATTTATTCCTTGACTTAACATTTGACTTACGAGGGGTATCTTTAGAGATGTTTTAAAATAACTCAGCCTTAAGCAATACAAAAGAAGCGACTGAATCCAAATTAAAATATACTTCTGATTCATGTCAGTATGCATTGTAAATACATGTTGATCTGTCAGGGAGCGTTCTGTTATGTTGTCAAGAGGACAACTCCCATATTCCAGTAACACCTTCCATGCCAAAAAGCCCTGATGCATACATGCACAAGCTTCTATGTACACAGAGTTCTCCCATTCAATTAAATAGCAGGAACAGTTCAACCTAGGGATTTCTTTGTGCTATTATTTCACATGCTTAGCGCACCCACCGAGAACTGGATCAGAGCAGTGACACATACTTACAGCATAAAATCTTTGCAGTCCTTACCCACCATATTCAACATTACAGGATATCAAAAATCAATGTACTCTATACTTAAAATTTAAAAGTGCCTGTAAATTTTCAACTGTTCATTAATGTTTTGATAAATGCATTTTATCATCCCTTAACCATGTGAGTACTTTTACTTGCTGGCCTGAAAACACAAGCCCCCTAAACATAAAATGAAAACTAGTGAAACTGAAAGGATTTCAGATCTCATTGCTAGAGCAAACTGAACAGAACACAAATCTCTTTTATTATTCTCTGTCAAAGGAAGCTTTGGATATACTCTTTTTCCTTGAAGATATATTTCAAATTGGGGGAGGGGGGTTTCCTTTCTTCTATTTTTAAATATACTTTTTAAAAATTCTCATCACAACTCTTTGGTAGGTATTTCCAAGCTTGCTGAAATATTAGATTTTCCTTATTTTAAGATGCATAGTAGTCATGCAAGCTGGTCTTCATAAAATCTATCAAAGTCATAAAAATCAAAATCTATTATGGGGTTTCAGAGATTAAAAATGTAAACACATGTTCTTGGGGCAATAAACTGAAGGCAAGTTAGCAGGGACAATCACAAATATTTGCGGCAATTCTCCTGCCTAATTTTCTTTATATCAGATACTCAAATATTCAAATATATTTTTGATCCATAGGAATATGGAAATGTATTTTACAAGAAAACACAGTGAAATTTTGTGTTGGTAAATGAACTATGAGTAGTAAACCTGCAAAATAACAAAACTAATTTGTTGAATGAATTACTGGGAGAATCAACTGCAGAGATTAATCTGTAACAATAAAGCACTGAAGCTTAGATACATTTTTTCCCTGACCTTAGAAGTACTGTTCAACATGGCTTGCCAAGAACACATGCAAATTCGTGTCTCAGCTGACTTCAAACCATGCTTAATGTGTGTCTAGGTTCGCATTTTTGGAAACAATGGTTTAATCTGTTCATTTAAAATCGTTCCATGACTGTCACCTTCCATTGGCTATTATTACAGAAGTCCCAATATAATGAGGAAGTGCAGATTCCTTGTGAGTCTCAGGGGAAGAGGCAGATGAGGGACTTTGGTTTTTGTAAAACATATTTACTTCTTCAGAACCGTGTCCATACGTTTCTGCTCCATGTTCTGTGGCAGTGCATGACGATGTTTGAAATGCGCCATGTTTGGCTAAAACCCGGTGGTAGTTCAGAAGAACAAATGGGACTTGTCCTGTGTGCCTCACATCAACTGTGTGATCATGTTCAGAGTCTTGGTCAAGCTTAACTGTCATTCTGTTGTCTGCTGCCAGCTCACTCATATTTGAAGAATGATGGGTAACATGCTCATATTTGGGCTCTTTTGTACATATTCTTCTTGTTTGTTCATAAACTGTTGGGACTGGGAGAAGGTGGCTTAATGGTCCAATGGATTTAGCTTGGAAACATTCGGATTTGGACAGAAAAGAGTTAGTTAACGAGTTTGAAAAGGGCTTTTCATTGACACTTTTGTCTTGTACTTCTCTGTTGAAAGCTAGCTTATTTTCTTCTTTAATCAGATGGTGATGTGCTGGATATATTCTGCTTTCCATTTTGCTGTGTTTTATAATGCTGGAATCATAGATCTCTTCCTTGTATCTACTATTTGGTGTTAGCGTGGGACAACTTGAGAAACTGTCAGATGTACCTTCTTCTTGGCTGTATCGTCTGTGCGACAGTGGCACTTAGGAACAAAAAAATGAAGAAACAATGAGTAGAAATAAATGCTCATGTCTGACTCATATGAGTGCATTAAGGCTGCATAAAAAGTGTACATTCTTTCATTCATTTACATATGTTAACATAGCAAACTGCCTTCTCAAGCAAGGATCTGAAATTCACTGGAATTCTTCGAAACATAAACATTCTGATGAATTTGGTGGTTACATGCTCAAAGACATAAAATAATCCCAATTAGGTCAGCTTTAAAAATGAAAAAGCCTTATACTTTATTAGCATTATGTTTTTGATTTTTTTAATTGGAAAGAATCCAAAATATACTGTCAAATTAAGTTAGCATGAATTCATAAGTAACAAAATATTATACTTATTCATAAAAACTATTTTTTTAAAGCAATCTCAGCCTGTGATTGCACTGCGATGATATGATGGCCCTTTAGGGCCCTTCCACACGGCCATATAACCCAGAATATCAAGGCAGAAAATGTCACAAGAGCCCATTTGAACTGGGTTATCTGAGACCACGCTGCCATATATTCCAGTTCAAAGCGGAAAATGTGGGGTTTTATTCAGCTGTGTGGAAGGGGCCTTAGTCAACTCTGACAGAGCTCCCATGAACCCAAGGGCAGTTCTACAGTATTCAGGGTTGCAATGAAGCTGATAGCAGAGCTGTGCAACTCTATAGACTGCAGTGTTCCATGCTGAAACTTATATGAATGCACACTAAGTAAAGCAAATTGAATCCATATTTCTTACATAATTATATTTGTAAAATAATTGGATTAGATCAGTATTTTGATATTAACCCTATATTAAATCTATCACATAAACTGCAATTGTTATAATCTGAGGTGGAAGCCTAGATTATAGTCATCCCTCCACATTCTCTGGGTTTAGGGCCACAGGGCCCCTGTGAACATGCAAAACCATAAATAAAGAATGTGCTATTTTTTACCTAAGAGAACACCTGTCTAGGAATTTCTAGGTATGCCAGAACAACTCTATGGTCAACTTCTACTGGAAGCTGATTATAAAATTCCATTGGATGACCTAAAATTTTCTAGAGGAGTATTCTCTCTAGAAACCCCTCTAGGTTCTACAGCACACCTGGAGGAAGATTACCACAGACTCACATTGGAGCACCTAGAGATCTTGGAGAGAACAGTTTTAATAAATCTGAATAATCAAATCTGCGAATGTCAAACCCATAAATGTGCAGACAACTGTGTAGTCTTAATGACTTCAGACCTCATCACATTGATGAGGTTTCCTGTGCTGATTTTCTAGCCTCTGTGGCGAACCGGCAGGGCAATTACTCCAGCAGCAACATTTTCCCATCACATGTGGGGAAGTGTCGCCATGGGCCTTGTCCCTGTAGGAACCTCGTTGTTCCAAATGGAACACGAGGGAGGCTCCCATGTTGGTGGAACAGTATCCTACCACGCTGCCACCCCAGTTGAGCAATGGAGCCCCATCAGAAGTGAGGCTACATCATATGATGGGCGGTATGGGGCTCTGTAGCTCAATTGCAGCAGCAGCATCCTAGGATGCTAAAAATTCATTGTCTGATGAGGTAATTCATAAAAGGCAATTTGGATTACTTGGGAAGGCATTTCATTTTAGTATTTTAATAAGTTAGCATTAAAATTGTGTGATTATCCAAAGCTTTAACTGAAGACACAGCTTTAATATCTTGAAAATATTAAAATGTAAGTATTTTACATTTTTTAATTTTATTTTTATTTTACAAAACAGTTTCATAGTTGTTCGCATCATACACACCTTCATAGCCTGGTAAGATATTGTGGCGGACGTTGCTTGCTGATTGATCAGAAGGGCTTTTAGATGGTGATTGGCTGCCTGGTATGAGAGAGTTGGCATAGTGCCATTGGCACTCTCCACTTGTCTGTAATGTACTTAAGAAAAACCGAGCTACTTCGCAAGGTGTTCCTTGAGTCTGCCCAAATTTAGAAGGCAGCATTTGTTTTTTGCTACTGAATACATGAGGGTCTACGGGGAAGGCTCCATAATGGTAAGGGAATGGTAAGCTGTACGATGGAGTATATAAAAGTTCGCTGTTTTCTGAATGGAAGGCTTGTTCTTGGATGGTGGCAGAATTTGCTGTGGAGCTGGATCTCCAGCTTCCAACCTGGCTACATTCCAGTTTGTCTGTCTGGAAGGAGCTGTATTGCTGAAAAAGCAAATAAAAAAGAAAGAAAAGTGTTTAATAGCTGACTCTGAAATCTGTCAGTATAACAGAGTGTGCTGCAGCCAAGTACCACCTTGAACTACAGTTACACCAGTTCATTTAAACTAAGAGGAGTTGGCAATACTTATTCTCTAAAGAGAGGAACTGCAGCTCAAAGCCTTTTGGAATTCCTCTTATTTGCCTTGAAAGCTCTGCTACTAAATCCAAAATGCACAGGATAAGCTATTGTACCCCAGCGGACAGGCGGGGAGACGTTTGGCAAATGCTCAGAGAGAGAAAAAAATCCTCTATCGTCAGCTCTGACCAGATTCTGTGGCTAATCCCTGACACAAAGTAAGGCATAGGAAACTGGGACACTGCAAGCAAAATTCAAGGACTGCAAGACAAAGGTTTTTTTCCATTCAGTGTGTTTCTTCTCACTGCTTATATGGTATTAACAGATTGCTCAGACACATAGATGCATAGCTATTAATTGATTCATTTTTCAACTGATATATATATATATATATATATATATATATATATATATATATATATAGAGCTCATTTTGTACTAACTGCATCTTCTGAACACCACAGTCTAATGGTGGGGGGGGGGGGGTAATTAAGGCACAACCCACCAAATGAGTTTTACCATACTGGGTGCAGAGGTGCCTCCCAGAAATAAACTTGGGTCTTTCATAAGGAATGCGACTCCATATAGGAAACGTGTTAATCGTGCAACACATAATGATATATTTATTAATCTTATTTGTAACCAGCAGACTAGCTTCTAAATACACCAGTTCCCCTATCTTGCAACTGGTACCTGGTGCAATGATGCTTCTGCAAATAGGTTCTCATGCTATTTTAAGCACAAAATGTTCTGGGTGAAAAATACCTGCTGTGGATATGGAGTTGTTCTGAGTTTTGTCTTCATTTTGTTACTTTTAGGTTTTGTTGCTTTTCTCGTTTCTTGTGAGGTAGATACTGAGTTTCTACATGAGAACTGTGATTTAGAAATTGTGACCTGGTCCAATGATAATGGAAGTTCCTTATATTCTATATCTCTGCAAAAAAAACAAAACAACAACAATGGTGCAACAAAGGAATTGGTTCTCAAACCCATTTCTCTTCCCTCTTAACACTAATTAAAACTGATTACTCCCCAGTCATAAGAAAAAGAGGCTCTGATTGCTTTGAAAGATATTAGTAGTAGCAAGCCTAATATTACAAATTTAATTCAAAGCCATCAAATCTTACAAACACATTTCCATATAAGGTTAACTCAGAAAACTTTTTTTAACTTTTCCCAGCTGGAATCCTGTTAGGAACTGACATTTCCTTTACGTGTTGTGCTTATATGCTTTTCTGGATGCTGTGGGGATTGGTATTTCCTTCTTCCACAGTCCCCAGATTCCCTCTGAATTAGGCCCCATCTACACAAGCCTTATAATCCACACTGAAGTGGATTGTAAGGGGGAGGGGCCAAACAATACATGCTCACAGTGCGGGCAGAACCGCATTAAACATGGAAAATTTGTTTCAAAAAGCCTGGAGAATGTCTGGTTTTAGCCGAAAAATGTGCTGCAACAGAGCCCATTATATCCCAGCCACATGGAAAATGTGACACTTTGCAGGATTTCCATGTGGTGTACTAGTGTGGACAGCACATTACTGTATTTTGAAACTTTTTAAAAATTCTTGCTTTCCGCATATGTACTGCAGCGCATCTCCAAAACTATTTTCGGGGGGAAACTTCTGGCAGATGTCCCACTAATTGGATTGTTCTGGATTAATGTGGATGCAAGGGGAGGATCGTTCTGGGGCAACTGAGCCAGGGGGAGACTCAATACTACTACTACTACTACTACTACTAATAATAATAATAATAATAATAATAATAACAACAACAACAACAATCATCGTCATCATTTGTACCCCGCCACCATCTTCCTGAAGAGACTCGGGGCAACTCACAAAGCATTCCAAAGTACTCACATAAAATAAACAATACATAGACCTAAAAATGACAATAACATGAGATTACAATCACCCACACACATACAATCACATAATAAAATATGAAAAGCAGTCATAACTGCAGGATAAAATTTGTTGTTTTCAATTAATGAACCTGTTGCCAAAATGAAGCCAACACTATAGATCAGTGGTTCTCAACCTGTAGGTCCCCAGGTGTTTTGGTCTATAACTCCCAGAAATCCCAGCTGGTTTACCACTGTTAGGATTTATGGGAGTTGAATGCCAAAATTAAATTAAAGGCCTGGAGTATAAAGGTGCTGAACACACACCACACAGTCATTCCATGCAACATAGGAAGATGGCAAGATCATAGAAGCATCTCACCATAGCCAAACATAAAATGACACCATCAGTGCTGATATCCAGCGGAGTCATCCAGCGATCTCAGTGCTGCAGTAGTCATTCCATATCTGGCTATGGGGATGGAAGGGTTCAGAGACTTTCAGTAAGTCAGGATAGTGGCAGTTTGCTTAGACTAGCTATGTTGAGTCATATAGGATTGTAGGTCTCCAACCTCCCATTTTGCAAGACTGAACGCATTTTGGTCAGCTGCCTATGTAACCCTATTCTACTATGATGTATGTAAGCAACTGCTTGTTCTCATTCTTCTATAAAATACATTTAGTTCTCTGTATCCAATTATCATATACTTCAAAAAAATTAATACCAAAAACCAAACATTGATTTTTCCATTTTATATAAGGGACACTGTTTTTTTATGCCATTGTATATAATGGGACTTGGACACCCACAAACTTTGGTGTCCATAGGCAGGGGGAATGGGGGAGGGGGTCCTGTAACTAAATCCCTATAGATACCAAGGGCCCACAGTAATAAAGTATATTTCTGTGCTGTTTTATCAGGGGAGGATCAATGTAGATGTTTTATACTGAATTTTATCAACTGCATTGAATTGTTGCCAACACTGTGAACCGCCCTGAGTCCCCTTCAGGGTTGATAAGGGCGATATACAAATATTGCAAAATAAATGCTGCAAAAAATTGATTCATTTGAAGCACACAGTTTTCAGAGTTCAGGAAGATTACAGAATCAGTCCTATAAAGGCAAAATGCAACCACTAGAAGTTACCGGAGGAACAGTGATTCTGCAATCCACAAACCAATGGGTATCCCCATGCGCCAGATGGATAGACAGGTGTTTCAAATTGTTTTTCAGTCAGAGCCATTTACTTATTCCATTGCTTGCCAGTTTCTTATTTCATGCCTTGCCAGCTGGACTCTAAATCCCATAGCTTGTAATAAGGCAATATTTAGAAGTTAAAGTCACTGGTATTATGCTAGAATGGAGACTTCTTTAAAAAAAGAGGAAAGGTACTGGTGAAGAAATGGAAACATGGGCTGTGGCACTGCCAGGTAGAAAGACAAATCATGGTCAAAGTTACACCAGAGATGAACTCGCTGACTACTAACCAACGTGTCATGAGTTCAGAAATAAAGAGCAGCAAATCCAGATACCAATCCCAATGTGTCTTTGAGGGAATAGAGAGAGAAAGGGCTGTTTCAAAGAGAACATTTATATCCTCAAGTGAGAGTGAGGCAGAGGTTTAAAAAAAAGGGACTGGAAAAAATACAAGTAGAGACAAGGTAAAAATGTGGGGTAAAAAAGATTAAAAGGTGAAAAATTGTTAATGAAAATAAAACACCTAAGTTTCCTGGTAAAGTGGCAGTGGGAACTCAGGGGTCTGAATCACAAAAATTACCAACAGCAACTTAGAGCTGCCATTTTAAAAATGGAGAAAATAAAGAGTGCTGATGCTGGCAAGCAAAGCTTCCTATTGTGCAGCCTAAAAATTGATTGATGGTACAGCCACCAGTCAGCTAGAAAAGTATGAAATGTGTACTAATCCAATCTTCTTGGCCGATGTGATATCGCTCTGTCTCTGCAACCATGAATCACTCATGAAACTCTTGCCACTTGAAAGAGTGAGGTACAGAATATCCAATGATTACTGCTAGATGCCTCACCCAGCACACACACAGCCCTTGGCCTCGGTTATTTGCAAGATGGTGATCCCAAAGCATAAGGCCTAATGAGATAAGATATACTCCATGTCTGGAGTTATTTTTTAGATTTCTTTCTGGCTCAAAATGGGTTGTAAAACTTGGTAACTAGATAGCTCATTAAAAAGTCCATCACTTTTTGTGTAATTGTAGCATGTTGCCATCATGAAATATACTGTTTTGAAATTGGGTCCATCATTTTTGTTTAAAATGTTTAAAATCAATAATGACAGGGACAGCACAGTTAATGCATCACCTGTGACTCTACCTGTGGCTCCCAGTACTTATGGGGCTGCAGAGCAACATGCATGCCCAATTAAAACACAAATGATAGTTAATGAGACAGTAAACAATAAAATACTATATTGAAGCTATGCAATACATTTCTGGGCAGCATTACTGATCAGGAAATAAACCTATCAATCAATTTACAGCTAATGAATTAATTATTACATATGAATTTAAGAAACTTAATTCAGCCTAGCATTATACTTGAGATTAAGTATAATTATCAATTATTATTTTCATGCAGGAATGAATATTCCTCTGATGTCAGAAAGAGAGGAAGTAAATGAGAACTTCAGTCAGCAAAATAAATTCCTAAAATCCAAGTTATTAATAAAAAGCAAAGAAAACCAGTAAAGTCAGCAAAAGAGTATGAAATTGAAGTCAAAAATCGTTCAAGAAAAGACAAAGAATTTGACATGGAGTCTGATTTTGAGTCAATAAAAGGAGAAGACTTAGTTAGGGGTGATACATGAGACTTCATGAGTCTCATGAAGACAGTGATGAGGAGGGTTTCTCAGGAGCAGGTTCAGAATCAGAGAATGATTCAAGTAGATTTTTTATGGTGAAATGATTCAGAGGTTGATTAAAAAGTCACTGCAGTCATTAGTCTGTTGGGTCATATAAATGATAAGGTTAATGGCAGAAGGATCATTAAAAGAAATGGCATGAAGCTTCAGTATTAGTGATTAGAAGCTCAACAGCAGCAATGTTTACTAGGGCAGCTGCACTTTGGGTACGGGATATTTTAGATGCTCAAGAAAACAAAAGCAGGAATTAAAAAAAAACATTGCATATGAGTATGATATATTGCTGATGCAAATATCAATGCTCCAAAAGTTTGATGCAACTCATTTTGGGCGCAGTTAACCACATGGATTTTGAGAGGAACATATTAACATAATAGGGATACTCACAGGAGGTAGATGAAACAATCCTGGCATCAAGGAGAGATTTTACACACAGAATATATGATTGGACATTACACAAATGTGAAAGTATCTGATATACTGCTGGATTTTCTCCAGGATGGACTTTCTATGGATAGATAGATACTATAAAATGACAAGGTGTTGCTTTGTTGACAGTATTACATTGGAAGGATGCCAGCTATCCATTTATGAAGATATTTCTGAAAGAGGGAACATTATTGCTGGTGCCAAAAATACATGGATTTCCTTTGTGGGATCTTAACTTATTGCTCAATGTGTTTGTGAAGGGTCCATTTGAACACACAGATTAAGCTTTTCTATACTTGCTGTATCCTGAAGTGGCCCATTTTAGTGTGAATAAAATCATGTAGTAGTATCAGAATCAGCGACTCTATCGGTGAATAGTAGTCTGTGTAAACTTGATCACAACAAAGTAACATGGAGACTACATCATAACTTTTTGCCAAAGTGTTTAGTCAATATAGTTGTATATTAAGATATATATAGTTACCAATTTTTTACCCTGATCCATTAGAGAGGAAGTAGCATACTTTGGATGTGCAGAGAGCAGTTGAGCATTATATTAAGAGAATAGCAGGGTTCAAACATACAGAATTATTAATGTATTTGTCATTTTTAATCTGAATTCTTTGGGCAATATAGCCTCAAAACACACAACGGCAAGCTGGATTAAAGCTTGCCCATTTCTGTTATGTCTACTCAGTGTGAAAAGGCCGGTAACAGTGTGGCTCACTCCACCCGCTTGATGGCAACCAGCACAGTTTATACTGTATCAGTATCTCTATAAGACATTTGTGAGGTGCCAGGATGAAAAAGAGTCTTCAGTGTTCACCAGGCACAAGAAAGTCAATAAATACATACAAACAGGCACAGGTGACATTCAGCCAAACAGTCCTACATCCAGTGAAAGATGTTATGCTACCATTCCCATCTAATTTTAAGGGCTTGGGTTTTGGATTGCTCATCCTAACCCATTCAGAGAATGAAACATTGGTTCTTACTGTGGTAAATCATGATTAGATGGTAGGAGGAGCAACCATTATTTGGTTGCATAAAGCAAAAATATTAGTATTATTTAGTGGGTTTTGGTGAACAACAGAAGGGTAGTTAGCTTATAATTGAGCAAAGTCGTTAAATTAAATTGGTGAGCAACAAAGATGAGTAAATGGTTGCACCTGAAAAAGAATCTGGAATTCTTGCCTATCCAGCTAATGCATGGGGAATTGTCATGTATCATGTTCTGCAGTTGTTGGTGGTGGTAGGCCTAGCAGTTGGTGATGAAAGGGTTAATGTAAGTCTTAGTTATAAAGGATTGAGTAATCTATAAGTAAGAGTTCATGGGTGAAAGCAATTAAGGGTGGAGGTATGCAAAAGATAGGCTGCAGCTGGGTGTTTCTGGATATAATGAGCTAACCTTGGGACTGTTCTTTGGGAGAAAAGTATTGTTTTATATTGGTGGTAGATGCTGCTGGTTTTCCCCCAGGTTTGTGGATTTTTGGTGTCCTGACCTGTCTCCTGAACCTCTGGACTGGCTTTTGACTACGGCATAGACTCTTGATCCCTGGACTTTGTTTATTGAACTCTCAGCATTTGACCACTGGACTGGACCTTTTGGCTATGGAGTTATATTGAACCTGCAAGCGTGTTTGCTGTTCTTGTTTTATATTCTGTGGCTGAGTGCAATCTTTATGTTTATATTTTGGACTATTAAAACAGCCAGAAAGTAAGTGCTTAATGATGAACCAAACAAATACCCAGTTTAACACAAACTGGGTGTTTGTTTGATTCATCTCTACCTGAATAAGGCAGAGCCCTGGCAACATGACAGAAATAACCCATTGATTTGTGGATTACTCCTAAATCCAAAAATAAGTTATCACTGAAAGAACAGTTATCACTGAAAGAAGTTATCACTGAAAGAACTTTAAAAAAGACCTATAGAGGCCCAGGGTAAAGAACTTCTTATTCCCATACCACAAACAGAAGACTGGAAGGTGCTTCTTAATTAAGTGCTGATGATGAAAATTTTCTCCTCCTACACCAGGAGACAGCATGTTAAATTAGAGAGCCCAGAACAAGTATTGCAACATATATATAATTCAGATCTCCAACAGCAGGGAATAACTGGTGAGAAGGAATAGTTAGGAAATTAAATATTGGTACTTTCAGTACCAATATTTAATTTCCTAACTATTCCTTCTCACCAGTTATTCCCTGCTGTTGGAGATCTGAATTATATATATGTTGCAATACTTGTTCTGGGCTCTCTAATTTAACATGCTGTCTCCTGGTGTAGGAGGAGAAAATTTTCATCATCAGCACTTAATTAAGAAGCACCTTCCAGTCTTCTGTTTGTGGTATGGGAATAAGAAGTTCTTTACCCTGGGCCTCTATAGGTCTTTTTTAAAGTGAAGTCAAGGAACCAACTCTGTTTTCAAGTAATTTAAAGGTACWTTTTAAAAATAATTTAATTAGCTATTTAGAGCAGCTGAAATGGTAGGGTTTAGAGTCATGAGTGAGCTGAGTCTCAGTTTTCAACAGGGCATTCCAGCTGTGTCATATTTCTCCTTTGTCTTTGACTAAGAAAAGTTGAAACCCTTTCCACAGCTGGATACAGCATTATAAAAGCACAGCAAAAATTTTAGTGATCAACCTTGTTAAGCAAGAAGTTGGAAAATAAAATGTCAAAAGCTGCTATTACACAAGACAACAGTGAGTAAAACAGTCAGAAATAAAAGACACCAGGTGGCAAAAATAAAAACACTACATTATGGAAGAGAGTTTGAACTTACGTTAGTACATAATTGACACTCACAATGCAGTGAGGTCGCGATGAACGGCTGTTGTGCACAATGGTGGCATAACTCTGGATCCAAACCCAGCCACCATTCTTTGATAGCAATCGATAGTACTTGGTTGTGACTTGTCCTTTCACCAACACTATAAAAACAGTATGAAAGATTTCAATTACATGATATTCCGCCTTTCCTGTGCAGAATTTGAAATAAGATTCCCAACTGGCCTTTTTTGTTAACAGTTCAAGACCTCCTTGGCTTCAGTTAGATGACATCATTGCAGCCTTTCAGAACCAATTACTCTAGCCTAACTTATTTAGCTTTTTAAAAGGAAATAAACAAGCTGAATTTGACTCTTACCATTGATTTTCCATGAAAATTCATGATGCAAGAAATTTATACAGTTCTGTATCTGAGGTGTTGTGATAAAAGGTTCCCTTTATATGGATCTTACGTAGCATAAAATCCAATAATAGAAAAATCTCACTAACAGCATAATCCTATGTATGCCTTATTAGAAGTAAGTCTCATGAAATGTAAGTACTTTACAAATCCTCATTCTAAATTTGTTCTAGCTGTTTTAGGAATAAACTTGTGGAGACCAGAGCTTTTGGAGCCTATTTGCATCAGGTTTGGTGAATTTTACTCAGCACTTTAGATTAATTTAAGCTTCCTCTAGATATCTATGAACCCCTCTGTTTATATTGTCATCATTGCCATCACTGCCTATCACTCATGGTTGAGTATGATTGTCTTCCAGAAGTAGAGTCTTGGTGGTGGTTCCATAAGTGACTGTAGAGACCTATTTTGGTTCTGCATGGCTTGTGACAATGATGACATTGATTTCTAGATGAAAGGTGGTCCCAAAAAGGGTTTGCTTGATGCACCTTCCTCTTGACACATTTCTCCCTCTATTAGAGCCTCTTCAAAATCCATAGCATTGTTGGTAACGGCTTGCTTCCAGTTAGAGCGCTCTTGGTGTTTATTCCACATTTTTAAGGTTAGCTTTAAACTCATTTTTAAAATCTCTTTTCCTGTCCACCAATATTCCATTTTCCATTCTTGAGCTGAGAGTAAAGTAACTGCTTTGGGAGATGGTGATTGGGCATTCAGACAACATAGCCAGGCCAGCGAAGTTGATGGCAGAGGATCATTGCTGCAATGCTGGTGATCTTTGATTACTCCTGAATGCTGACGTTCATCTGCCTGTCTTCCCAAGAGATTTTGAAGGTAGCGCTGATGGATTTTTTTGAAGGTAGCGCTGATGGAATCTTTCCAGAAGTTGAGAGTGATGTTTGCAGATGGTCCATGTTTCGCAGGTGTACAACAGGGTTGGAAGGATGATAGCTTTATAAACAAATGTCCTGATTCTCAAACACTCTCTGCTTCATTTTTTAAATGCTGCACTTGCATTTGGAACAAAACTCTGAAACAGTTTGCATATTTTTAATAATTTTTATGATACCATTTTTGTCTATGCTACTCAGATATTTTTCTCATGGCTTTTGTCCTTTTCATTTATATGTATTTGTAATGATACAGTATTTGTACTGCTATATGAGCTATCACATTTAGTCCTGCAGCGTTCATGGTTAAGTCAGGCTCACTATTTTGTTTAGCTTTATCGCTCTTTCAGCATTTTACCGTACTTCATGTATCTTGAAAAATAAAAAAGCCCTATCTATTTTCTCCTTCTACTTATGAAATTCACTCTTCATTCAGAAACCGGCAGTGCCATTAATTAATGTCAACACAGTCAAATAAATATTAATTAAAGCAAAAATGGTATATGCAGAATATTGCAAAATGGTCTTTTGACAGAAGAATAGATTATAAAATTGCAGCAATGGAGAAATTGGCAATGATTCTCGGGGGGGGGGGGGGGGTCAAAATGACTACCAAAAAACCTGGGAATCATTTTTGAAGAGAAAGATGCACAACTTTGGATCAAGGGCTTCAAATATGTTTGAAGCAGGAATAGTTATATGCTCAAAATATCTACAAATAACATTTAGCCAGAGGGTTCAACTTAGCATTGTCACCTTAGCAATTTGTTCCCACTGTTATATCTTGCTTAATCCATCTTTCTTAAATTCCACTTTGTTTTCATAAAGTATGCACCAGCTCATGTGCATATCCACCACAATAACAGGACACTCAAAAGCTACTTACCCATATTTAATTCATGTACTGTATACCCCAATTATTATTAATAATAATAAACATTTATTTGTATCTCCCCAGGGGGACTAGGACAGTTTGCAGCATGGTAAAGCATTGCAATTACAACATAAAAACATAGAAAAGGTAATTATAAAAAGTATGAAAATAGTACTATATAACAATCGTACACATTTAAAATTAAAAAAATACTAATTGCATCCCAGTGACAAGCCGACATGGCAGTCTCAAAACAACAAAATAACTGTCCACTGATAAAAGCTACATTCTAATGTTTCAGATCTTCTGCTGCTGAGCTTGATTTAAGCCATTGAAAGACTGTATTGAGAGAGTTCACTAGAGGGGGATTATTATCACAAGCATGAACTCATTAAATTTTGCAGTGCTTCACAACCTGTGAGTCCCCAAGTGTTTTGGCCTACAGTTCCCAGAATCCCAGCCACTTTACCAGCTGTCAGAATTTCTGGGAGTTGAATGCCAAAACATCTGGAGACCCGCAGGTTGAGAACCACTGGATTAAACTGTCAACTGCTAAGGCTGCCCTGAGTTAGAATTTCTTGGCTTCTTAGTAAGAAGGTACTTTGCTAGCTTTGTGCTGACTTTTGGGAATTCTCTATGCAGAACGCAAGGAAGGAAACTTGAGGAAGAAACTTCTCAATTGTTCCCTTTCAGGACAGAAATGAGGAAGAAAAATGTACCTTATTCTTGCCCACTTTATACCCTTCCCTGATGATGATGATGATGATGATGATGATGATGATGATGATGATATAATAATAATAATAATAATAATAATAATAATAATAATTGTTGAAAAGAAAAAAAGTTTGGATTATTGATGTTGCTATACCAGGTGATAGTCGAAATGACAAAAAACAACAGGAAAAGCTCAGTAAAATAACAACAACAACAACAACAACAATAATTTTAACCAGAGGGACTTATTCTTGACCACTTTATACTGACTCTCCCCATGAGTTACCAATGAATACAAAGTTGCATCCTCAACTTCTTAGCTCAGATAATTTTTTAATAAGAAACAAACTGTCAACAAGTGCCTTCTCACTTTCTTGCAATATCTAGTTGAGTGTGAAGTCATTGGACTATAAATAGCCTGACCCTTGCTTCACATCAGTTGCTGTCAGGCACTAACTCAGTACGGTGACATTGAGGCACGTGCTGCATTTAGTTAGAAATTGAAAAAAATGTTTAGTGTAACAAGCAGCAACTTTATATTTGAACTTTCTACTACAGTATATGTGCAATGAAAGCAGTGTCCCATTTCACTGCAAATTCACATGCAAGAGAAAGTCCATGTTTGTCATTATCAGACATTGCTACCAAATCAATTTGATTTCCATTACTTACAGAGATGGTGAGCATATCGTAAATGAAATATATCACATCCATGTACATGGTGGTAGAGAGTTTTCTCTATTAGGTCCTGCGGCTCGTATCCAGTCAATTCAGTCACTCTAAAAGAAAAGAAAAGAAAAGAAAAAGGCACAACCTATAAAATATAAGCATTTCAAACAAAGGTTCATATTTTTCCAGTAATTAGACTAGAAGAACCTTTGTTCAACATCCCGAAAACCTCTAGAATGAATGGTCCATTTACTGATATTTTGACTTTGTAGATATAGGGCAAGTTTGAATCTCATGCAAGAGATCCATATAAAATCTCATTAAGATATGCAAGCCTTCAGAAAATATTAATCATTTGTTTCCAAGCAGAATATAGAATTCACTGATTCTCCAAATTTAGATTTTTAAAAGGTAGACCTTACTTTCAAGTAGAAGTCAACTGGTCGACACGAAAGGAACAAAATCATCCTTATTGGCTGTTCCATTAATTAAGATGCAGTGATGTCACTAAAGGGGTGTCAGGAGCATGGTGACATCATCAGATAAGGGCAAAGCAAAAAGCCTATGGTTCAGTGATTCAGCAGAAATATATTATTTTTAATAGTAATATAACCACAAAAACAATTTACATAAGCCCAAGTTTACACCTATTGTATCAATACATACCTACAAGGTTAAAACCTATGTGAATTTGTTTTTTGAACCTTCTAATCATAGAATAATGGAATAATAGAGTTGGAAGAGACCAAATGGGCCATCTAGTGCAACCCCCTGCCATGCAGGAAAAGCACAATCAAAGTACCCCCGACATATGGCCATCCAGCCTCTGTTTAAAAGCTTCCAAGTAAGGAGCTTCTACCACACTCCGAGGCAGAGAGTTCCACTGTTGAACAGCTCTTACAGTCAGAAAGTTCATCCTAATGTTCAGGTGGAATCTCCTTTCATGTAACTTGAACCTATTGCTCCGAGTCCTAGTTTCAAGGGCAGCAGAAAACAAACCTTCTCCCTCTTCCTTATGACACCCTTTCACAAATTTATCCATGGCTATAATGTTTCCTCTCAACCTTCACTTCTACAGGCTAAACATACTCAGCTCTTTAAGCCACTCCTCATAGGGCATGGTCTCCAGACCTTTGATCATTTTAGCTGCCCTCCTCTGGACATCTGCGGCACTCCACTAGTCACTTCTTTTCAGGATGAAGAGGAACCATTGGTGAGCACCCTTTGGGTTCAGTCACTTAACCAATTACTGATCCACCTAATAGTAGTATTGCCTAGCCCACATTTGACTAGTTTGCTAGGTCATGGGGGACTTTGCCAAAGGCCTTACTAAAATCAAGATATGCTACATCCACAGCATTCCCTGCATCTACCAAGTTTGTAACTCTATATCAAAAAAGAGATAAGATTAGTATGGTATGACTTGTTTCTGAGAAATCCATGTTGACTTTTAGTAATCACAGCATCTCTTTTTAAGTGATTGCAGACTGCCCCCTTAATGATCTGCTCCAGATTCTTCCTGGTATTGATGTCAGGCTGACTGGACAATAATTGTCTGGGTCCTCTTTTTTCCATTCTTGAAAATAGGAACAACATAATGCACATGCATTTCCATCAGAACTGTTATTAATCTATTACAATGTTTCAAATAGTGTGGTGCAGGCCCGTAGCCAGGATTTCGTTTCGGGGGGGGGGGGCTAAAAAATTTTCAGGGGGGGTTTGGGGGGCTGAGTTTCGGGGGGGGGGGCTGAGTCTGAGTGAAAAAGGGTCTAGCCTAGCAAACCTTTTGTATCATTACCCCAATACCCCCATGCATATGGGATATATTGAGTATGGTGATCAGATCATGATATGAATAAACATAACAGTTTAAATAATGCACCAGTAAGGCCTTTTCCCGAACCACCATGAGAATTTCGGGGGGGGGGGTGAGCCCCCCGGGCCCCCCCCCCCCCGGCTACATGCCTGGTGTGGTGTTAGTTCACCTGGGTTTTTAAATAGTCGTTTATTTTGTCAAATTTTCTGGTATTTTAGCAACAATACTATAGGCATGGTCTGGTACTGGAGATGGTCCATGGGGTGACACCATGCATTGCTGCACTGAGTGATCAGTGCTAGTGATGTCACTTCTAAGATGAATGACTATAGCTGATTCTGATTTCTACCTATTGGTTAGCAGAAAAGCCAATTAAAGTTCACTTCCAGTATATATAATGATACAATAAGAAGGGCTCTTGGCAGGATATGCCTAAGAAGAACTATTGAGTTCTCTTGTCACAATTTTAAGGCAATATTAGTATATGGGGTGTAAATGGTAACTTGGACTGGATCTTGTTGTTGTTCATTCGTTCAGTCGTCTCCGACTCTTCGTGACCTCATGGACCAGCCCACGCCAGAGCTCCCTGTCGGCCGTTACCACCCCAGCTCCTTCAAGGTCAGTCCAGTCACTTCAAGGATGCCATCCATCCATCTTGCCCTTGGTCGGACCCTCTTCCTTTTGCCTTCCACTTTCCCCAGCATAATTGTCTTCTCTAGGCTTTGCTGTCTCCTCATGATGTGGCCAAAGTACTTCAACTTTGTCTCTAGTATCCTTCCCTCCAATGAGCAGTCGGGCTTTCTTTCCTGGAGGATGGACTGGTTGGATCTTCTCGCAGTCAAGGCACTCTCAGAACTTTCCTCCAACACCACAGCTCAAAAGCATCGATCTTCCTTCGCTCAGCCTTCCCTAAGGTCCAGCTCTCACATCCGTAGGTTACTACAGGGAATACCATGGCTTTGACTAGGCGGATCTTTGTTGCCAGTCTGATGTCTCTACTCTTCACATTTTATCGAGACTGGACATTGCTCTCCTCCCAAGAAGTAAGCGTCTTCTGATTTCCTGGCCACAGTCTGCATCTGCAGTAATCTTTGCACCAGAAATACAAAGTCTGTCACGGCCTCCACGGTTTCTCCCTCTATTTTCCAGTTGTCAATCATACTTGTTGCCATAATCTTGGTTTTTTTGACGTTTAGCTGCAACCCGGCTTTTGCGCTTTCTTCTTTCACCTTGATTAGAAGGCTCCTCAGCTCCTCCTCTTTCGGCCATCAGAGTGGTGTCATCTGCATATCTGAGGTTGTTAATGTTTCTTCCAGCAATTTTCACCCCAGCTTTGCATTCATCCAGCCCCGCACATCGCATGATGTGTTCTGCATACAAGTTAAAAAGGTCGGGTGAGAGGATGCAGCCTTGCCGTACGCCTTTCCCAATCTTGAACCAGTCTGTTGTTCCATGGTCAGTTCTGACTGTTGCTACTTGGTCCTTGTACAGATTCCTCAGGAGAGAGACAAGGTGGCTTGGGATGCCCATCCCACTAAGAACTTGCCACAATTTATTATGATCCACACAGTCAAAGGCTTTAGAATAGTCAATGAAGCAGAAGTAGATGTTTTTCTGAAACTCCCTGCCTTACACTGCCATAAAAAGCAGTGTGAACTGCAGTATATGATCAGTGTGTAGACCCATAAACTGCATGTAGTTCAAGGTAGCAATGAATGTCTTGTATTAGAGTCCATTGCTGGTCCAAATGTGATAGTTATTCCTCCTTAAAGATGATGGCAACATTCTGAATGTATGCACTGGTCTTACATTCATGCTTTTCTTTACTGACTAAGCAAAGAGTAGGAGATACATGTACCCAATGCTATGCAGTCAAGTCAACAAACAAGGCAGTCAGATTTTCACTCAAAGATGTTAGTGTCTTCTATGTTTCTTTCCTCCTGTGCACACAGTGAGTTACTCAATAAAATAATAAATATACGTTTATTTTCTGTTGACATATTTTTATTTACTTCTTTCAAGATTGATTGCTGTGACAGAAATTATTATTCTATGGGGCTTATGGTCAGTTTATAAATTTAAGTTAATCTAAATAAATTAGTCTTTTTAACTATGTTGAAAAAACCAACTAAATATTGCAAAATAACATGCCAATAAAAAAAATCAGTCAAAAGATCTTAGGAACAGAAAGGATATTAAGGCATTACTAATGATGACAGATACATATTCTTCACCATGGTCTCTAACTCAAAGGTATGGATTGTTCTGTGCCTGCACAGAACCTGGTTGAGAACTTCTAAAGATAAGTGGAATGGTTTTTGGAAATAACCCTGTTGGATTTCCTGCCTTTTCTCTCTGTTAATTTTGACTGCCTCAGCTGCAGCAGGATATTGGAGACTCCACTTTCTTGCAAAGAATCAGCTATGTGATTTCTCTGAAAATGCATACTTTTGACTTTCCTCCAGATTTGTTTACTCTGTTTTTATCAAGATCCTTAAACCTATGATGTATGTTTCTTCTCTTTGTGGCATCTGAGAAGTATGTGCAACACTGGGATAAAATAATTCATACTGATGGGCACTCTGCTACTTACTTTGTCTGTGTGAATGTCACACTGTTGAAACTTGAAAACATTACAAAGTTTAGTCAAAGCAGGCACTGAAGAACTGTTAATACAACCTCATATTCTCGTTGAGAAAATCCTTTAAACTCTGAGCTATTTGTTGTTCTGTGGTTCCATCCTTGAATTCAACTACATCTAGTCCAATTACTTTCTTTTTGTTTACAGTTGCCTTAACCAAGCTCCAAGATTTAGCTACCAAGCACAAAGTTTCCTCCTCACATGAGATGTGCAATAAAGAAGAAAGCCAGAACTCATTTGTCTATGAAGCTTGCATCAATCTCCTCCCAAGTGGGTGAACCTGAATCCAATGGATAACACCTTCATCTTTCTTTAGAGAATTGTTTTGATGTCCCTCAGGTATCCAAACTATCCCTGCCAGATCTTAACAACACTCAAATTTATATTGGAAAGGACCCACTGTGCGCTTCAAGAAGTGTAATTTTTTCAGTGTACAGGGAATCTGACGAGAGTGACTCAATCCATGACTGCCTCAGATGAATCCAAGGAATGCGTGTCCATCTCTCCAGTTGTGACACTGGAAAACTGTATTTCCCTTGTCATTACCAGATGTTATCAAGTTCCATCAAACCAATTACTATGCATAGCACAGCACCTGGTCTAGAGGCAAAATCTCTTCTCCACCCGTGATAGACCCATTTTTCCCAGAGGATTCAAGCTAATTGTACATATCAAATCAATTGTTAATATGCCCTTTAGTTTATGAAGTACAGGAAGTCTTTGATTTACAAACATTTGACTTAGAAATGACTCATAGTTACGAACAGGGGGTGAGACAACAAGAAAGGGGAAAAATCTACTCCTAGGATGGGAAATTCACTCTTGAAAAAGTGAATGGGAAAAGATGTCTCCACTGAAGCTTTCTCGCCAATCCTTATTTCTGCAACAAGACATTTTTTTTCAAAATCCAGTTATCTCAGCATCAGACACTGAGGTGAAATCTTCTGAACAGGGGCACAGACAGCAAAACAAACACCAAAATGTGTTAACCCTTCCCTATGTGATATATATATATATATAATGTGTGTGTGTGTGTGTGTGTGTGTGTGTGTGTATATATATATAGGGCTGGTGTTACACCTAAAATGTAGTACCTGTTCCAACTTACATACAAATTCAGCTTAAGAATAACCCTAAAGAACCTATCTTGTTCATAACTTTGGGACTGCCTAATCCTTATAGAATCCATCATCTGTCCCACTTACATTTCATTGCATGGAAAACTTTTGTTGGATCTAGGAATTCGATCATGGTTAAAATACTGAAGTAGAGATAAACCCCTTTAGACAAGGTGGGTTGGTGGCTCAACATAATCAGCAAGAACCTATACACACCATTATGACTTCTGGAATACCTCAAATTTCTTAGGCACAGTCATGCTAGCAGTCATCAATTATTTATTTATTTACTTACTTTACTTCTATACCGCTGTTCTCAGCCTGGGGGCGACTCACAGCGGTTCACAACACACGGAAACAGCAAAATTCAATGGATCAATATAAAAAACAGTTAACAGCCTAATCTAATATACAGTTAGTACACAATTACTATAATAACCATTCACTAGCGTCAAATCGTTTCAAGTTTTCAAATCCCTATTGCAGTAAGTGGTACAAGGGTCTAGAGTCACTATCGCCATTGTGTGCCACCCCAACAAGCAGGAAGAAATGTATTTGAGCACCCTTCTAGATCATGATGTATCTCTGATGTATGTACATCTGGTGTACACACAGAGGTACATACAGGAAAAGAGAACAACAGGGCTAATGAAAGACATGTATTCACAATGCTGCACAGAATCTATCTGTGTCTCGCCTGTTTAACTATTGGAGATCAATGTTTTCACAACCAAAGAGAATCCTCACTCCAGGAAGATCTGCACAGAGGCCTATAAGATATCCTTCTCTCCTCTGTGACTGGGGAGGGAAAAGATTACATATTCCCTCCATTTCCATTCCTAATTAGAGTTATAGATAAACGTTTTGAAAACATTGTGGTGGCCTTGATGTTACAGGCACATTCTGGACTGCCCAGTCATTCTAGCACAAATGAGGAATCAAATCAGAAACCTGGACCCTTGTACAATAAACTAACAGCCTAGCTTATCTGTCTTAAGAAATCTTATTGAATGAACGTTTGCTACATAGAAGCCTATGGAAAATCTGCCACGAAAAGATCCTATCACTACATTCTTACTTTTTTTTCATAAAATACGTTCTGCCTCCTGCAAGATAGAAGATTAGAATTTCTCGTGAATCTTATGAACATGGATTTTGACTGTTCTTCTTACAAGGACTATTTCTCAGTTCCAGTTCCATAAGAGTGGTTTACACACTCTTATGAAGGCTTTTTTCAAAGATCACTCCAACTTGTATATCCCTTGAACACCATTGGTGCCTTCTTGTAAATTACAAGTGGTTTTGAATGCTGCCATTGGTAGTTTGGTTGAAGCAATGGCGACTTGCTACCTCCATCTGCTGATACTCCGAATGATCTTCCTTGTAATGGTCATATTGGCCCAACTGGAGAGCAATTAATAGTGTTCCATTGTGACCGATTGTTTCTCCTCTTTCACAAAAATAATGAGATTATTGATCCTGATATCAGCTCCCTCCCAAAGTTAGTGTCAAAATTCTATCACAAGTATTTCAAAATCCTGCCACACCTTCTGAGACTGCCTGATATTCTCTTGATGGGAGATGTGTCTTACCCTTCTAGATGGACCATACTAAAAGTCTCCACCACCAAATCAACAGACTTCTCATTTTTACAGGCACCCCTACCCCAAGGGACACCAAATCTGAATTAACAAATCTCCAAAGCAGTGGCAGCTACCATCCACTTCTCTTATGAAATTTGCCTTCAGTCTTACAAAGACATTCCAACAGGACTTTTGGTACATCCATAACATGTTTGATTTTTATACCAATTTTATATACCTATATAACTGGGCTCACATAAAAAAAATGGGCCAAAAGGCATCACAAATGAAAAAGTTTAAGAAACCCTGATGTAGATAATCTACTCAGGGATCTGAAGGCTACACATATGCACATGCTCCATCTTGTTTTCTGCCAAGCACTTTGCCCAGCGACAGTCATTACCAGAGAAGATGCTTTACAGCAGGTCCTTCAACTTCATGGGAGTTGGGAGTGCAGGATCCCTATGAAAGTGGAAAAACTGCAAATTTCTTGTGGACCTTCAACCACCTTCAACATGCTTGAATGCTCTTACTGTTGTGTATGACCACCCTAGCACAAGACCTTCTTTGACCCATCTCTTGTTCTTTCTTGGACATCTAGTGATGCTGAGTGAAAGGAACTGCACTGTATCACCTCCCCTGCCTCTCCGACCCACCCTCCTTTTCTTTCCCCATCAGCCCTCACCTGTTAACCAGGCTGCGGAGGTCAACCCTGCTCTGCTGGGGACTCTTCTTTGCAGACTGGTTCACTGCAGATATGCACGGTATTAAAGTCTGTTGAAACATGCTATAATGTCCTTCTTTATATGAGGTAGGAATCTAAATCTATTCTTTCCATGCTATTTCTGTCTATAGTATCAAAGTTCCTGTTAAAAATATCCACACCGTTAATTGAGGTATACACGTATAACTAGAGCACGGACAGGTCTAACAGAAGTAATTCAAATCACAGGCAATAAAGTTAATATGGGCAGGCCATATTAGAAACTCTAGCACAGTGTTTCTCAACTGTGGGCTGGGACCCCTGGAGGGGGGTTGTGAGGGGGTTTCAGAGGGGTTGCCAGAGACCATAAGAAAACATATATTTAAGATGATCTTAGGAACCACTTTGGCAGAGATGGCTGAAATAGCAATGAAAATAATTTTATGATTGTGGGTCACAACAACATGAGGAACTGTATGAAGGGGGTCACAGCATTAGGAAGGCTGAGAAACACTGCTCTAGCAGATGGGTGAAAAATAACTGGATTTAGATTTGCAGGGAGCATAAGCATTTCCCTGGCCAACTAAAGCATAAATAAGAAGATCTACTTGTCATATCTTACAGACAAAGAGGGCTGCGGAAGGGGTAGAAGTGAGACAACCAGAGATGTGTACTACTACTGAGAAGTGATGATGAGAAAAGATCCAATGAAATAAGAGCTGGTATTAATTAAGACTCAGGCTTAGAATAAATGTAACCTATTACAAATGTCTCTTTAAACTATCACTACAAATGTCTCTTTAAACTTTACATACTTTCAGCGAAGTCACTCCCCAATCCTTAAAACTCTAGTCTTAAAAACAAAAAACAGGAAGATTTTTAGCAACCACTCCAGCTTATTTCCATAAAACTGAACAACATATTTTCACAGTGGTTTCTGAAGTCTCTTTTTTATTTAGTGTTCATATAGTAAGCACAGTATGTAACCTTCCCACCCACCCCCAACACATAAAGAATCATTATTATTTGTTTCTTAAAAGTCAATGCATAGGATTTACAGCAAATCGTAGTTTTACTTACCTAGAATCCAGAAATATTAGTTTTAGGTCCAGACTTGCTCTGAACATAAACATATTACTATGAAGCTTTATCTCGGTGATTGCACTGGGAGGTAATGATTGGCCTACAGCAACCAGACCAACAATTTGGTAACATGTATCATACAAAGACATATCCAACATGTACTGTCGTATCTTCAAATAGCCGCTGCAGTGGATCACCTAGTGTGATGTGGGAGGAAAAGAAAAACTGTGAAGGGAAAAACAGAGACTTCAACATTGTTTCATCACAGTACTGTCTGCCCTATCTTGCCCTTCAAAAAACCATGTTTATTTCCTTATAAAATTAGGGTCTTTTAAAAAACTTATTGATTGATCTACCAGCAGCAGTAAGCATATGCCATGTATTCCCTTCTGCGAGTAAGGTATATAGTCAAATTTATACAATAAACTTGACATCATACTAGAATGGTTTTGATTCTACATAAATGAATGTGTTTATTTCACATTGGCTCTCCTATACATTTTATTTTAGAGGGGAGGAATGAAAGATAAGCAATAAGAGCAGCACATCTGGGGGATGTGAGGGGTAAAAATGATGGAGGTGTTCTCTAATATACTGTTGATAGTTAAAGAAAGAGTAAAATGTTTCACTAGCATTTTCCAACAAAATAATATCTATTTAATATCTGTACTGTTCCAAAGCAAAGCTTTTAGGATAATTTACACTGCATACTTTCAAGATACAGACTGCCACACACATGTGAAGCAGAATAACCTATACAGTTTTTGAAAAGCTCACAATTGAGAGTACTGTAAACTACCTCTGAAGAGATATGACTATTTTTCGAAACTTGTTCCAGAATATCTATGCTCTGACTGGGAGCGCTTCCAGGCAGTATTAAATCACGGGTTTTAAACAGAGGCAAAAAATCCCAGGACTTCAGAAGAGGTCCACATTCATACCTGTTGGTCCTGGGATTTCTGCCTCTGTTGTACAGACTTGATGCTTCATTGTGGGATTTAGAGGCTCCCAAGATGGCTGCCACAAGGCTTCCACTGGAAATATCAGTGTTTTTGTTTTTTTGTTTTTTTTTTTAAAAAACCCAACAGCCTCAAGATGTGGATATGTGGAGAATCACTGCAGCAAATCACTGCAAACGTTTCGTTCTTTGTCCTGGCCATCCACACATTTGATGAAGTTTCTGGCACACAATGTTTTTGCCTTCTACTCTAGTGTCACCTTCCTTTTAGAAACTGACCAATCAGGAACAGACGTCTTAAACCCAGATTAAAAAAATCCCAAGAGTTTAAGAGCAGGAACATGCAGACATGTGAAGATCCACATATATGTCTCAAAATCGCAATATTCTAGCACCTGGAAATCTCATGATTTTTGCCTTTTGTAGTGATTGCTTCTGTGTTTACAGGGAATGGCGTCTGGACACCCTCCTGTTTACTGCAGAAGCTCCTGGGATAAAGGTACTGCCTGGATGGGCCCTGGCAGGTTCTCTCAGAGGTAATGCATAAGTCTTTCATCCTCATCTTTTAACTGAAACTGCTAGGCAGCAAACCTACCATTATTAGCTGACAGGCATCTCCATTGCTATAAAAATTCATATTTGAGAGTGAGATTTCAATGTCACAACCTGTTATTCTACAAATATGGTGAATATAAACTCTTTACCTTGTAACCACTGCATGTCAATCCTGCATTCCTCTTGGCCAAGACACATTTCATGCGCAGAAAAAAAGATCTTTCTATTTCATACTCTGAAAACAACATACACATGTTTTGAGATTCTTTTCCTTATTTGTTTTTCCATTTTGAGATTATTATTATTATTATTTAAACCCTACATTTTCTCTCCACAAAGGAAAATATGATAATGAAAATAAAATATTCATATTTCTAAAAATAATCTAAGGTAGTATTTAGATAATTTTTTTTGTTTTATTGGGGTTTTTTGTTGAGTGAAAAAATTTTGCATGCTAGCTGCATATTGCTTTTGCTTTGTTTGAATAAAATGCATTCTAATAATATCTTAATTAATAAATAATCATTTGAAATGAATGAAATGATAAAATAATGTTGGCAACTATCCTGAAATTTATGGTAACTGGATTTTTTCCATTTTATTGCTGACAAAATTATTTTGGTTTACTTTGGGATTGGGTAGGCCGTTAATGTATTCATGTTTGCACTTGCGGTGAGGCACTGAATGTTTGTTTTTGTTTTTGTTTGTTTGTTTGTTGGAATCTACCCTGAGTCTCCTTTGGGAGATAGGGTGGAATACAAATAAAGTATTATTATTATTATTATTATTATTATTTTATTATTATTATTATATCATATAATTGGAAGAGGCCTTGTTCTGCAAAATGCACAAATTAAAGATACAGGATTCTGATCTGAGAATAACTTAGACAAAACTTCCATCTTTGAAATCCATTCTACTAAAGACTGTCAATCCTGGGGAATGATTTGTATGTGAGAATAAGATGGAGTCCCTTGCATTGCCATATTTAAATTTCCAAATATTTTAAAGCCCATGTTATTCTTAAAATAAAACAAGACATTGGGAATCTATTATGTTCACAGTTGATAACCATTTCCAATTTTCTGTCTACTGTTGGCAAGATAACTCAGTTCCAATCACCTATGAATATGTATATATGTATAAGAGATCAAAATGATCCAGGTTGTTTTATGTCAGGGTATAAATTTCCACAGCTAATGTTTTCATGCCTTGAATATCTATCTGTACATATCTACCATTAGGGTTCTCAAAAAGCATCCTAGAATCAAAACATCTTTGACATAAATAACTAAAAAAACTCTTCCTCTTCTTTTATCAGAAGCAGCCACAAGTTCCGTTCCCAGTTTCAGATACTTTAAGTATTTTATCTGTGCCTTGTAATGTGTGTTTTCTGAAGACAGGTTGCCCATAAACTCATTGCTTTTCTTCTTTTAAGGCCCACACAGACTCTTCACCTCTACATCTGCAGACCATTCACCTGGCCCATTTTCTATTTCTGATTTTCATTCTTGGTTGTATTTTCTTTCTGTCTGTCTGTCTGTCTGTCTGTCTGTCTGTCTGTCTGTCTGTCTTTCTTTCTTTCTTTCTTTCTTTCTTTCTTTCTTTCTTGCTTGCTTGCTTGCTTGCTTGCTTGCTTGCTTGCTTGCTTGTCTTTTTTTGGGGAGGGGGAGGGAGGCTTAAGACTTGTTCTGAGTCACCTTCATACTCCTATTGATACTTCATATTCAGTGGCACAATGGGTTAAACCCTTGTGTCGGCTGAACTGCTGACTTGAAGGTTGGTGGTTCAAATCTGTAAGATGGGGTGAACTCCGGTTTGTTATCCCCAGCTTTCCATGTGGGGACATGAGAGAAACCTCCCACAGGATGGTAAAATGTCCGGGCATCCCCTGGGCAATGTCCTTGAAGATGGCCAATTTTCTCACACCAGAAGCAACTTGCAGTTTCTCAAGTCACTTCTGACACAAACAAACAAACAAAAAACTTTACACTCCTTTGACCATTGTCTTGATCTTGGTCAATTACTGAGTTTCCTCTGAGCATCATCTTGTTTCTTTTGCCCTTGCTCAGAATCCATCTCCTTGGAGTTCCATTGTTTGCTCCTTCATTGTGTTAATTCTGGTGCCTTTTAACAAGCATTGGTCTCTTCTCTTCATTTCATTCTGTTACTTGGATCCAGCTGTTCCTTTACTCAACTCAACGGCTCTGTGACACTTACACTTAGGTTTGCAGTGCAGTACTATACCAGAGCATAAACCATCACTTATATATAATAGGCCTGGGTAACAACGGAAAAATTTGTTTCTAAAATCGATTTGTATTTGGGTTTTTTTTGTTTCGATATTTAAAATAATTACAAAATTTTCCTTTTAAAAAGTTCGATATTTACGAAATTTCCTAAATGGTAAAAAATTAACGAATCGATTTCCGAAACAATAACGAATCGATTCGTTAATGGCGGACGCGACCGCGAAATACGCTAAAAAACCTCCAAAACCTTCTGAAGCTCCCCTCTCCCTCTGTTGTTGACTGTTGGTGTGATATTATAATTTTTTTTCACTAATTAAACCATAAAACTGGCCCAGACATGCGGAAATAATAACGAAACGACCTCAAAACAATAACGAAACGAATACAATATCGAAATACGAAGCATTTACAAAACGTTTTTGAAAATTCGTTTTTTTTAATAAATTGCTCCAGAATGGTTCGTTATCGTTTTGTAATTGAAAAAATTAACGAATTATTAACGAATTACGAATTAACGAAACGAAACCGCCCAGCCCTAATATATAAGAAAGAAGGCAAATGTCTATGTGTCTTCAAATCGTGTCAAATTATGGTGACCCCATGAATTTCATAGGATTTTTGTAGGCAATCAATACTGATAGGTTTGCCAGTTCTTTCTTCTGAAATATAGCTTACAGAGGATCATCACAAACTCTGAGGGTGCCTGCCATAGAGGTGGGCAAAATGTCAGGAGAAAATGCTTCTGGAACGTGGCCATACAGCTTGGAAAAATCACAGCAACCCGGTGATTCCACCATGAAAGCCTTCGCCAACACATAGCTTACATCATCTGATATTTGTGGGTGGTCTCCTATTCAAGTACTCACCAGAGCCGATTCTGCTTAGCTTCCATGGTCAGATGGGCTGTGGTGCCTTTATGAGGTAGTGAGGCAACAAAGGAATCAAATGCATTGATTGATTTTCTTGACAACATGGAGCTCATGGTGTAGCTCAGGGACTTTTATGGATTCTATAGTTTTCAGCAATTGTAGCCAGGATGTTATGAGGAAAGCTGGGAGTTGATGTGCAACAGGATCTATCTAGATTCCTGGCTCTGATGTAACTGTTGGAACTATAGCAGACATATACCTTACTAAGTTAAACAGGGCTTACACTCAAATAAATATGCATGCATGTATAGATGCATAGGATTATATGTGTATATTGTGTGTGTTTATTCCTTAAGGAATGCTGTTCTTCATTATCATGTAATTAGTTTCTGATGGATTATCTGAAAAAATGATATAATTTTTATATTAGGAAGTAGGTATCAAGAGTGAACTGATGTCCATCATACTATATTGCCGCTGGTTTGAAATACAGTATGACTCTCTTATTGATGGTTATGCTTTCCCACATGCCTAGAAATGTTTGTGGGCTCTCTAGGTCCTCTAGTGCTTTTCTATAGTTTGTGTTTTGCCCAAGTATCTTGGGAAGTCTGACTTGGCCACGGTAGTCCATGCTCTGGTTACATCCCGTATAGATTACTGCAACGCTCTCTACGTGGGGTTGCCTCTGAAGACTGCTCAGAAGCTTCAATTGGTCCAACGATCAGCAGCCAGGTTGTTAACAGGAGCGGCACTCAGGGAGCATACAACTCCTCTTTTGCGCCAGCTCCACTGGCTGCCAATTTGCTACCAGGCACAATTCAAAGTGCTGGCTTTAGCCTTTAAAGCCCTAAACGGTTCTGGCCCGACCTATCTGTCTGAACGCATCTCCTCCTATGAACCAGTTAGGACGTTAAGATCATCTGGGGAGGCCCTGCTCTCGGTTCCACCGGCTTCATAAGCACGCCTGGCGAGGACGAGAGACAGGGCCTTCTCAGTAGTGGCCCCCCGGTTGTGGAACGCCCTTCCTACAGACATTAGATCGGCCCCCTCCTTATTGGCATTCAGGAAGAGAGTGAAGACCTGGCTCTTCGAACAGGCTTTCAACTAAGCAGTGCAATTGATTGATTACTGGAATATGGATTAATGGACAACGAGATCGGATGCTGATTCTATTGATGAGACGTGATGGATTGTTGTTTTCCTGTATTGTTGTATTGATGTCCTGATGTTAATTAATTGATATTACTGTTTTAAATGACGAATGATTTTGTACTGTATTGTTGATACTGGTTGTTAACCGCTCTGAGTCGCTGTTGGCTGAGAAGAGCGGTATACAAGTGAAGTAAATGAATAAATAAATAAATAAATAAGTATAGTAAAAATACAGGGTTCACTGTTATCCACAGTTATATGGTTGTATGCCACGTATTTTTTTTCTTACACAATGAATAACCTTCCAATTCTAGTTATATAGTATATAGTTTAGGTATACAGTATACTACATTGTTCTCCCTAATATTTTTGCAAAAGAGCAGAAGTTGCAGCACTGAAGAAAAAAGAGGTTCATGTAATAGAGCAGGATGAGAAAGCAGAGTCACACACAAATCCAGCTCACAAGGCCTTCCTGATCTTGGATTGTAAAGACTGTTCCAATGCAAATTAATCTTTTATGCAGGTATTTTAAAATATAGTCTTTTACTCTATATCTAATAACGGAATTGTGGGTTCTTGAGAAGTGTTGTCAGTACTCAGGCAAAATATCCCATAGTGAGAAATAAAGAAAACACCACTGAACAACACAAAGATCAGAATAAAGCAGTGTTTTATTCTGTAAATATTTTGTGATGACTGAACATCCATTCACAATTGAAATTACTCAAGCATTACTGTTTTTGAGAAACACCACAGGAAAATGCTAAAAATATAATAATGTAATTAAAATCAAGGATCAATTCATCTCAATGTGGATACAATCTGTTAAAGGCATTGTTATAATGCTAAACAGTAGTCTTGTGCATTTGTATAGAATCGCTATCCATTTCGGTTTGTTTCATTCATATGGCCCCGTTTTCGTTTTTGAGTGCTGCTTCCGAAAACGGGAGACTTGCCAAATGAGCTGTTTTGTTCTTTTGTCCGAATAAACAAAAAAATATGGACCACTGAGTTTAAAGGCGTGGCTTAAGATCCCACTGATTCTGAGAGGTTTCCCTCTAGATATGCAGAGGACACCCAAGCTTAAAGGCAGGGCTTAAGATCCCACTGATTCTGAGATGTTTTCCCCTGCATATGGACAGAACTATAATCTGGCGACATCACTGTTTTCTTGGGGTCTGGTTGGCCCAAACACCACCTCCTCTGACGGAAGAACTCCCTGGGCCGCGTGAGGAAAGCCATGCGTCCAGAAAACCGAACAAAGAAACAGGAACTGTGCAACTTTCTCTTTTGTTTCACCGTTTGTTTCATCCAAAAATGGGTCTTTTGTTTCATGCCTTCCAAAAGGATGGTACAAAACAAATACCCGAATGAAACAAATGAAACAAATACTGCGCACTAGTCTACTCAAGAGTACTTTCAGTTTTCCCCTTTTCTCTTGATACACATGCACTATCAATTAGTCAAAATTATGGATCAGCATGATTCCAGTTTTCGTATCAACCCTCTCTCTCAATTTGAACTGTCAGTTATGAAATAACACATCAACCTAGTAAATACAAAAATGTTCATAGATCCATTGCCCATGCATTTTAAAAACATCAATTTGTTTTCATCAAATGTGTTATTTAATTTATTCACTTCTATTTCTTAAAAATTCAAAGACAACATTTCTAAGAAATGGAAGTGAGTAATTTAAATAACACTTCAAAAAAGATTTTAAAATGAAGTGTTTTACTTACATGTAAATGGTTTGCTCTGTTATATGACATAAAAAGGAGGCATTTACCACTTTATGTAACGAACTTGTATTTGTTCTCTTACATTTCACATGACTACTAAATAAGGTTCTTTAGCTACTTCTGTGAAATTATATTTAGCTTTCATGCAACCAAGATTCATCCCTGGGGTGATGAAATGAAATCATTTTTTTGTTGTCTCCCATCTTTCATGTGTTTTGAACAAAGATCACACAAAGCCTCAGGATGTTTTGTTTGGTGGTGGTTAGTAAATAGTCATGAAGCATTTTACAACTTGATACTATGTAAATCATAGTTCTCCATAACAAAGTTCTTTTAAAATTGATACACGTGGCCTATAAATCAAATGCAAAATCTAAAAATGCACTTCAACTAGGTCAAGTTTGGGAACTTGTAGGCCTCAGCTTGTGGTTGGACCCCATTTCACACTGAATTCCTAAAACCAGAAATGATGGATTATAGTCCAAAAGAATACTCATTGATTCTCCAACACTGAACTAAATAGCACAACGAGCTTTATGTAAAACATGAATAGCATTTTTATGATATAGAACGATGGTATATCAGTATAATATTTCTTGGCTATGTACCTGCTTTATGTTACTTAATTTCAGCAAATGAAACATTAAGCATACTGGAGTCAGTCCTGCATCTATCACCACATGTATGTGTGCACTGTCACATCTCATGGAAGTACCTTGCAAAAGATGAGGATGAAGAGGCTGGTGAGCTGTTAGCACTGCTGTCATTTCATCATGGTCTGATGGGTGTATGTACTCGTAAATACTATTACCAGTGAGTTCCACCTGTGAAGAAGATAAACAATTCAACACAACATCGTTTTTCTTTTTAAATACAATTATTTAGATATTCGTTTATTGATTTTAAAAGTTATATCTCTCCCAGTTTCATGAGCTCTGACAGCAGTATACAAATGAAGGGGGTTGGACTGAATGGCTCTTGTGGCCTCTTCCAGTTCTATGAGTAGACCAGTGCGCAGTATTTGTTGGTTCCCAACCTGTGGTCTGTGGACTGCCAGTGGTCCTCAAGAACAAAAATATGGTCCACGGCCTCACCATTAGTACAGCGCTGCCTCAAAACCATGCAGCAACAAGAGCTACTGGTCTCGCAAAACTCTCTTATAGTGCTGACGCAGCGGGGATGTCGGGAGGAGAGAGGCTGAGTATCCATGACAGATTACTACTACCACATCAGCTCTAGATTATTACATATGGTTTTCTGTGATTGAGCAGATGGCAACTACTGAATAGCATATGTTCTGTATCAGACACTAGAGCTAATGTGGAACATCCAATGTAATTTTCTGAATCAGCACCCCCAAAAATGAAACTGAATCTAAAGTTGACCAGAAACTGATTTGTAACCTTTTTGGTACTAATGTTGGAGAGTGGTCCCTGGTCAAACGTTCTCTGGTCAAAAAAAGGTTGGGAACCCCTGTTCTAAATAATCACACATTGCATTACTACCATTCACAAGATTTGCCAGGACCACAAGTAGCTCACCAAAATACTACAATCTACAGATAAAAAAACTGCCACTCAGCTTCAAAATGCAAGGCCCAAAGACCATAATCTGTGTCTACACCAATTATAGCCCCAAAAGCCATCTTTAAATTTAAAAACTATTCCGTGTACTTCTTTAGCCATTTCTGGTTCTTCCCCTCTTACAAGGTTGTTGCCAGAGGAAATGAAAATACAGTGAGAGAACAGATCTTCTAGTATCCATAGTTTAATAAGAAATCAGAATTCAAAACATGCTCTGGTTGAAGCTATTTGATGGGAAAGGGAATTTTTAGAAAGAAAATAACAATGTATATGCTTATCCACTCTTGAACAGACTTGGGCTTTTTCAAAATGTCACAGACAGTCCTGGCTGTTAGAGTAAACATGCAAATGTATCTATAAGGATGAATTCATACATTAGGGGTGAGCAGTGGTGACCTACCAGGTGTTTCTGGACTGCAACTCCTATGATATCTGACAGTTGGCTCTTGGGAGCTTCAATTCAACATCTGGAGGGATGTTATTACCAATCCAGGCTTTAGAAAATATTTCTGCATATCCATCACCCAAATCATAGTTTTGAGAGGCAGGAGAAACGAAAGGCTCACATTCCTCCCTATACACACACCCCTCGTCTCTTCCTGTTATGTGCATATGGTTTATTATGAATAAAGGGTGGTTTTAATAAGTTTTTCAAATCAAGATTACAAACCACAGTTCAGGACTCACTCAAACCCACACTTTGGACATAATAAAGCCCATGGAGCCAGTGTGGTGTAGAGACTTGAATGTTTGACTATGACTTTGGGAGGCAGGGATTCAAATCACTGCTCAGTCATGGAAACCTACTGGGTGACCTTGGGAAAGTTATATTCTCCCAGCCTCAGAAGAAGGAAACGAAGGCCCTCTATGAACAAATCCTACCAAGAAACCTCAGGGATAGGGCTTCTTAGAGTTGTCATAAGTAGAAATTTATATGAAGGCACACAATAATAATGAATACACCAACAATATGGTTTGACTATGTCAGAATAGGCAAAGAACAGTCCCTCAAGATATCACTGCAATTGAAGGCATTCCTCACCAATAAGTGCACTGGCTAAAGTTTCAGAAAGGGCATTTTGTCTTTCTCTAGATTAGAATGAAAAGTACCATATATACTTGAAGATAAGCAAAGTTTTTCAGCCCTTTTGGGGGCTGAAAAATCCTCGCTTGACTTATAATGAAGTCAAGCTGGACAGCAGAACCTGGGGGCCATTGCTTGCAATATATGATATATTTCTCTCTCATCTTCCCCTCCCTTACAGTGTGTTTTATTTTCAAAAGCCCCCCTTGCTCGTTGGGCATCTCCTCCCAAGTTGGAATGTTTTGAAAATGGAAAGGAGAGGGAGAGAAGCCCTTGCAAGTCAGGAATATCTATTAATTTTATTTATTTATTTATTTGGTGAAAGGGGGACACCGCTTTTCTGGGGGGACTCAAGGTGGTTTACAACATAATGGCAAAAATTCAATACCCACTTACAGTAACACAAAGAAATCATAATAACTAATTGCTACATATAACATTGACGTAAAATAATTAAAACCATTAAATATAAGACATAAACAAAATTTAAACATTCAGACAAAGTATTAAAATCTTCCTAGTATAAATATTAAAATAGCGTAATTCAGAAAAGAAAAAACGCACACCATAGCCATTCCACATTTTCCTCTGAAATATTTGTTAATCTCTCCTACAGATATATAGGCATTTCCCCTTTGCAATCCCTATCTATCTATCTACATTAATTTTATATATGAATTTCCCCTCATATGTTTACAGGTCACTGAAGAATTATTATTATTATTATTATTATTATCATTATCATTATTATTACTATGTTATTGTTGATACCATATTGTTTTGTTGACCCTACTTTTCCACTTACATAGCTCGTTTACTGTTTTTCTTTGTAATACAGCAAATATTGTGTAAACCTCTTTGAGTCCGTCCATTCCCCCCCCCCCGGGGGGGTTAGAAAAGCAGGATATAAATACTGTAAATAAATAAATAAATATTCAAAAACATTTAACCTACTAGTGCCTCCATTAAGGTAATTTTATTGGTATCTATTTTTATTTTGAAATTTACCAGTAGCTGCTGCATTTCCCACTCTTGGCTTATACTCGAGTCAATAAGTTTTCTCAGGTTTTTGTGGTAAAAATTAGGTGCCTCGGCTTATATTCAGGTCAGCTTATACTCGAGTATATACGATAATCCACAGAGAAGGAGAGGGATTAAGAGAGAAAGGGGCACTAGATTTCATGTCTTTCTCTCAAGCCAAGATTTGGAGCAGTGATGGAAATCATATGGCTCACTTCTGTAACTCCAGAAAATATGCTTTTAATATGCATTTCTTCCCTTCCTCACAAAAGAGACAGGGCATAGGCCTCCTTGGAGAATTTTGCTAAAAGAAGCTATTGTGGCCTGAAGCACATCAGTGCAGTGGGCTGGTAAATGGTCCCAGACTTTCTAATATAGGGTTTAGAAGATTACATCAAATCTTTGCAACTCCTTACTCCATAGATACGTAACTATAAAAACAAATAAATCCCATATTTACAATCAGTGGTGTAACTTTTGATTGTTTAGTGTAACCTTACTTGTTCTCAACCCCAATAATGGAGAAATGAATTAATGTATTCCTCTATGTCTGTATTACAGACATCTTAAGATACCGAGAGAGTCTTCTCGGTGGTGGCCCCTCGACTCTGTAACTCGCTTCCCAAGGACATCCGGGATGCCCCAACTCTAGCAATCTTTAGGAGGAGCCTGAAAACGTGGTTGTTCCAGTGTGCCTTTCCAGATTAAATGAAACTCTCAGCAATATGTCCTCAACATGCACTTTATTATTGATTTAGGATTGATTTGCACACCCTATCCCATCCGAAATTTCTATCCCAGTTATCCCTTACCTTGCTCATGCCCAGCATTATTTTTAAATTTTAATTTTACATTTGGCCCAGCCATAGGTTTTTAAATGCTTGTTTTGTTACTGTATTGCTTATTTTTATTTTTGCTTATGAGTTATATTTTAACTGTTTTGTATTGTTTGTTGCTATTGCTTTATTATTGTTGTATTGTGGGCTCGGCCTCATGTAAGCAGCACCGAGTCCCTTGGGGAGATAGTAGCGGGGTATAAATAAAGTTTTTTATTATTATTATTAAGTGATCCAGTGAAAAATACTTCCACACAGAAATAGATCAAAATGTTACTTTCTCTAGTGCAGTGGTTCTCAATCTGTGGATCTCCAGATGTTTTGGCCTTCAATTTCCAGAAATCCTAATAGCTGGTAAAATGGCTGAGATTTCTGGGAGTTGTAGGCCAAAACACTTGGGGACCCACAAGTTCAGAACTACAGTGTGGGACAACATACATGGTAAAATCATTTCCAAAATTAAAGACATCAGTATTTCAGGTTTGAGCATTATAGTGACAATATACAAACTATTCATTTGTATGATCAAATATCCTTTAATGAGATATAGTTGAAGTGCCCATTCAAAAATTGAAAAGACTTTATCTTACAGTCACCAGGTAAAGCAGATATCTGGCAAGATCTCCTATTCACCTATATAGATCCCAAAAATGCCTCACTAAGGAATAGGATTATTTAGACTCAAAAGCGGAGTAGGCTTTTGACCCACATAACGAATGCTGGGAAATAAGACTGCAAGAACATTCACTACAAATTCCGTGCCAACTGTTAACATTACTATTTTTATGAAATGTTGACAGCCAATTTGTTACAAAGAATTATGCAATATAATACAGACAATAAATTGTAAATTATTTAGAGCATTTTGGGTGCACAAATTAATAATGACGTATACTTTTAAAATCAATACTTGTTTACTTTAAGTAAGTTTACTTTACTTCAAGTATCTGAACTACTTTTATAGTTGCAATCCCAAATTAATTTTCGAATCCTAAATAGAGTATACAGAAGTAACATTGAACTAGAATTTAGACATTGGTTGGGATTAAAGACTATGGGTTAATATTTTGCAATCCTCAGTAAAGCTAAACCCTCTAATTTCAGCAGTGTCGTCAGACAAATCTACTTTCTATAAACATGCACATAATTTACTGAATTAAGACTGAGAAACACCTTAGAGTCTGGAATTCAGCTCATTTAAAGTTTAAAGGCTACCTTGAGTATGTAATAGGTCAGAAAATATTGTGACGGCATGAGTGGCGCCACCTATGTGTAAAACTGTTAGTTGCAAGATTTGAACTGTTGTATCATGCTTAATCCTGCCTTTTTACCCTGCTTATGTATAGTTGGATTGATTGGTTATTTATAGCTGTCAATCAGTGTTGTTTACACCAGTTAAATTGCTTCCTCAGCTCAATTGTTTGGCTTCATCTCTTCCTGGAGGAGGGGAGTGCTTCCCTTCTCTCATTCTGCCATCAGAGTTTCTATCAGATGGACGGAAGAGACTTTGCTCTAAAAGCCCCTGCTTAAGTTACCTCTCAGCACCAGTTCTAAGGTTTTTTACCCTTGGGACTCATGCTTTATGTCCAGATCGTCCTGGACAACACTGAGGAGACCCAAGCGCCTTCAAACCAGTTCTTTTGGCACCAGAGGAAGGTCTTGTCCCTACAATATAGGCCATTGGACTGGGTTGTGTTTATTCCAATATTCACAGCCATTGAGGAAAGAGGAAACAGGAAAAGCTTCTCAGCTACAAACTCCTTGGACTTCAGAGATTGTAAAGCATATTTCCTTTATCCCTGTTGAAACATCAAGCTTATGCCTGAGAAAGATAACTCATTGTGAACAATAAATACCATTTATTGTGTTTTGGTCTTTGGGAGTTCCAGTTTCCTATAGGAGGGCAAGAAGCAATCCCCTGGGGAAAGATGCCTCTTTCCATGCCTCTTTCACTAAGAGTTATAGCCCCCAGGCGTGACGGCACAAATATAATCTTTCCTCTGTCTTAAAACTACATGAAGATTGCAAAGTAACTACGGGTGAAATTCTACCCTTTTCGGTGGGCTTTGTTTTGGTTTGACAAGTGATGTCTAGGCAAAGATAGCGCACCCACATGAGCACAAGGAGTAACATCAGTTTGGATCTATATATATTCCTCCAGAGAGAGAAAATAATTACATACACATAGCTCTCATAAAATCATAGAGTTGGAAGAGACCTCGTGGGCCATCCAGTCCAACCTCCTGCCAAGAAGCAGGAAAATCACATTCAAAGCAGCTCTGACAGATGTAAAGAGGCAAAACTATATGGAATCTTCACTCCTGCATTGATTTCCCACTGCAAATAGGGATGCTCCCTTCCCTCACTAAACAGATTTTTGTGGAAAGAAGAAAGGCAGAATTGGAAGAAAAATGTAGGCATGAAAAAAAAATCAACTGAGCCATCTTCCATTAAATGCTGTGTGTGAGAGACACAATAATTGCTTGGTAAAGCGCCCCAAAAGAGTGGTGCAAACAAAACACAGTTTGCATATTGAAACATTTTAGTAAGGCACACATAGCAGAACGAGAAAGATAGTATGAAGAACTAAAGGAGAAAATAATGTGATATAAACTGGAGACAGAAAGAGCCGAGGGAGTGGTAGGAGGGGAACAGGTCATACATTAGGTTTTTAACAAGACACCGCATGTATAGAATCCCTTCTCTGCCTGCGCTGGCCTGCAGAAAAAGTGTGGGGTTTATTTCCCTTGGAGACCAAAATAGGCAGCAGTTGTTCGAGAGTACTTTTAGCACTCGCATACCTCTTTGCTATGCCTGCCTTTCAGGATCAGCTGCAGTCACCACAATGGTTCTGATTTTCCTTTAGCAATAGTCTCCACAACCTCCCTTTCTCCCCCATCTCCCAATACAAATTCATTTATTCATTCTGATGGTGTCAGATTTCATCTAATGGTTCTCAGAGAAAAACAGATGTCACTTGAGCAAACCATTTCTTTTAAGCACAAAAAAAGAGAAATCTGCTAGCATGGCTAGAAATGGGGAATTGTGTGTGATGGCGGTGGATCCTGAAACATAAGTGCAGGCAGTCCCCAAGTTACAGACAAGACAGGTTTTGTCTTTGTGTTCATTATGACTCCTCAAATAGAACATGTGGCTGAGTAGTTGTTAAATCCATATATTACAATACTGAAAGGCTTTTTTTGTGATTGTGATCTCATTGAATAATTTATCGCATCAAAAATGACAGCATACATTAAATGGGGCTTCTGTATTTTAGCAAGACTCCTGGATATGTGAATACATAATTGAAAGTGAACAATATACAGGCAGTCCACAAGTTACTTACAAAATAGGTTCTGTAGGTTTATTCTTAAGTTGAAATTGTATGTAAGTTGGAAACAGGTACATTTTTAAGTGTAAAATATATATATGGAGAGGGGGAGAGGGAGTGCTTTGGAAATCATAGGAAAGGGTGAACACCTCTGTAGTGTTTGTTTGCTGTCTGTTCAGAAGATTTCACCTCATTTTCTGTCGCTGTGATAATTGGATATTGAAAAAAGTGGCTTGTTATGGAAACAAGGATGGGCGATAAATGTTCCAAAAGCATTCGTTCTAAGGAGAGAATGCTTCTGGGACATGGCCATACAGCCCGGAAATCTCACAGCAACCCAGTGATTCTGGACATCAACGCATTGGTGATAAAGCTTCAGAAGAGACGTCTTTCCTCATAATAACTCTTTCAGGAGTGAATTTCCTTTCCAAGGGGTAGATTTCTTTTACTTCATGTTGTCTCACCCCCATTCTTAACTATGGTTCATATGTAAGTCATATGTTTGTAATTTTGGGACTGCCTGAAAAGCAAATGGTAAACATGGTACCACACCATGTAGCAAGTATTATTACAGAGGGATCTTGAAAAGCCTACTCAGATACTCTGAAAAAAAAATCCACTTAACTATCAATAACCCCAGAAAAAAAGAACAAGTACACTGCAGATAGAGCAAATAGATTTAAGAGTAACATGTATTACAGAAAGGAATGGACCTCAATTCAAGCAATGCCAGGAAGCCTGCAAATGGAGATGACTAATACCGACCCACCACAAGCTTTAAAGCTAGTTTGATATCATTCTTCAAGAGCCAATCCACACATGAAAATGAGCGTACACTTTACTGTACACTACACAAACAAATGTATTTTGCACAATTAAATATGTGTGTGTATCTTTGGGCCCTTCCACACAGCCCTATATCCCAGAATGTCAAGGCAGAAAATCTCACAATATCTGCTTTGAACTGAGTTATGTGAGTCCATACTCAGATAATGTGGGATTTTCTGCCTTGATATTCTGGGATACAAGTCTGTGTGGAAGGGCCCTATGATAGTGGGAAGATACAAAGGTAATTAAGATGCTATAAATGCTATGATATTCATTCTTCATCATTTGACAATTATGAATTTCTGTCATGATTTATAAATTAATATGTTGGATTAAATGACATCACCTTTAAGTATTTTTATGCTCACATTTTAAGCATATGTCCTTGAAAGTAAGACCTCAAACGGATCTGTTTGAAATTGTGTTTTGGGTCACAACTATCATTACCTTTAAAAGAACAAATGTAGCATGCCTTAAAACCCAAAGCACTCACTCCTGACCAGAACAGTAGTAAACCCAGTTTTATGAGTTCTGCCATAAGCATATAAAACACTTTACTGAAAAGTCCACGAGGCTGGCAAAACTCAGGAAAAATTACCCTGAATTCCATGTGAACACTCATAAATCTACCTTTTTTTTCTTACGGCACCTTCACTATAAAACTCAGGTTTCCACTATTTTCACAGCAACTAACATTACTGCACACAGTTGAAAACAAAGACTTGAATATCTATTTTTTCCATGATATTGCCATTTCTGTTCTGGCCAGTTGCAAAAGCACCTAGATGGAAATGATAGCTTTTGGCTATATCTGTGGTGAATGAACCACGACGCATAGTTTCCAAGCGTGCCTGAATTAGCACATTTTTGTGGATGATAATTTTAGTTTCTGAACATGTAGTATAAGTAATAAGGAAAAATTAAAGCAATTTATATATAATGACAAATTTATTTAACTCTTCAAAAAACCTCAACCATCTAAAACCAATTAAAGGGGAAACTTTATATCACGAGTAAAATTATATCACCATATGCCACCAACATCCAGCATTCAATAAAAGGACAAAAACGTGTTCCTACCTGAGATAAACCTAGATGGACAGAAGCTGTTTCTGAGATATACATTATTTTGCCATCGGATGCTACCACAAAAACAAACCCATCCAGAGTCTGTAAGAGAGAAAGACATTGAGTAAAAATTTGCCACTTACAATTTATAGTCAAGTTACTGGAGAGAAGTTTTAATTTCCCCCTACAGAAGAACATATATTAAAAGGATATTACCCATATTGGCCTGATGAAGACTATTGTGCACACACTATAAAAAAAGTTAATTCTGACTCATTCTCCTCTTACATATGGTAGTTTTACAGCAGCAGCACTTAAGCTAACAATCTCATGTTGATATGGGTTATTTTAGTACTTAGCACAAATCCTGAGTTATGTGGTTCTTAGGGGGGAAACCAATCCCAAGTCATCGGCCAAAATAGCTTATCACTATTTACATTTTTAATGACATCTTGGGCAATGTTAATGACTTCTTGAGCACTATTTTAAATTCTTCTGACTTTTTTTATTATGGCATTGCGAGCTAAGGATTATCTGACAAGTGCCTTGTTTGAAACTTATAAGGGAAATAAAAAGAACATGAAACCATAACTTCACAAACTATAAGAACGAAATTTCAGGAAACTTAAAACAACCTTCCACACCACGTGTAACACTGAAACATGCTACTTTGATCTATTATATGTTAATTATCTGGGACCTAATATCGCTTATTCCCACCAAAAAGATAAATATGAATATACAACATGAAATGTGAATTCTGAGCACCTTTTAGTAAGTACTGCTTAAATAAATGAAATTTGGTTTCAGACTTGATCAGATTATGTGTTACAGTATTAAAATCCTTATTGGTCTCGGAAATATATATTTGGTAGAAACTCCAGTAATTATAGGGAAGCACCATTAATCAGATATGAATTTAAAATACTAAAACTGATAAAAATATTTGTTTGAAGCCCAAGTTGCACTATTAGTCAAAGTTGAGAAGCACTTTAGGGAATGTGGCAGAAAACCTCAGTACCAGGTCCAACCTCCATTTAAAAAGTCTCTGACAGAACTAGAGCAGTGGTTCCCAACCTTTGGGCCTCCAGGTGTTTTGGACTTCAACTCCCAGAAATCCCAGCCAGCTTGCCAGCTGTTAGGAAATGTGGGAACTGAAGTCCAAAACACCTGGAGGGTCAAAGATTGGGAACCACTGGACTAGAGAGATCTCTGGCTAAGACCTTTGATGCTGTCATCATAAGAGATGATAGGTTATCACTGGTCTAATTAAATATAGAGCAGATTAATATTTTAGTGAAACTCAAGTCCATTTGAAGGTGATGAGATTAAGTATAACTTTTAAGTATTTTCCATATTGTAAGAAAGTCATCTCCATTTGAAGAAAAAACCCTAATATCTAAATACCTAGATAAAACAGTTGCCTTTTCTATTTACTAATTCATATTTTAAGATGCTGGAAAATGAGAAAGGTAATAAAGGCTGTAACAGAGGGCAAGTTCAATGTTACCCCAATAAAAAATATTCCAAATTATTCTCTAGCCTCCTTACTTTTACAGCATGTAATTGGAACCAGATTACTCTTTAGTTTCCTCCCTCCCCGCATTTCAGAACATAAACAAAACTTTGTAGCATGGGGGAGAAATCTTTGCTTTCTTAAATAAAACATTGCTTTAAAACTTTCCTCATAAACTAGCAATTTGTTCCCTGATGTTATAGTTAGGCTATATCAGTACTTCGATTAGAAAACCTTACTTTTAATGGCTCCGTAAATATATATAGGGCTTTTTTTTCTCAGAGGTAAATGTGTATACATTTTCAACAGATTAACCGAAGAATTTAAAGTAGCATTCATTACTCAAAAATAATTGAAACACATAATCGGGGGGCAGGGGTGTATTTTTGTTATGCAAGATATTTTAAAGGGTTATATTAAAGAGCAACCTTTAGGTCAATATGGTATAGATATTGTTAATTGCTGTAAGACATTTCAACTATCAGAAACATTAGCTCTAAAAGTCTGGGGAGGGGGAAAACAAGAAATGCCATTCAGTTTTTTCAATATATGGGAAAGAATTTTTTTTGGAAAAAAATGAAGAATTTGTATCACATTTTGCTTACATGTATAATTTAGAGCAGGGTTTCAAACACATTATTTAAAACATTTGTGTCTGTATGTGTCAGAAGCGAATTGAGAAACTGCAAGTCGCTTCTGGTGTGTGAGAATTGGCCGTCTGCAAGGATGTTGCCCAAGAGATGCCTGGATGTTTTACCATCCTGTGGGAAGCTTCTCTCATATTGTAAACATAATACCTATGCAAAAATATTATGACAATGGGAAAAGTAGGTTTTAAGGACATACAATTTAAGTAAAATTTCATTCAACATTTTATGTATCACAGCAAAAAGCATTTCATTCTCCAGCAATGGAAAACAATTTATGTATGACAATAAACTGATCACTATCATTCTTAGGACTAGGAAATATTTTTGACCAAGTAAGAGTCTACTGTTCCTGGCACAGAGTGGGAGTTATGAAGTGTGCAGACTGAAGAATAGCCTTATGCAAATTGTAGAAGGCTGTGCAAAATCTCTCCTTGCCGGTGAGAATGCTATTAAACATTGTTGAAATGCATAGAAAGTTCAGTAGAAGAAACACTGCATTCCCAATCCTGATTTCTTCAGCTACGGAGTGACGGTTGGGAATCTGGGATGAACTGCACAGATCCTGATTTAAAAGTTTGTTATGTTAATTCCCCAGCAGCACTCCACGTTGTACTTATCTTTGGAATGTTATTCTACTTTGGTGAAACTCTACGGCAATAGCAATTATTATTATTATTATTATTATTATTATTATTATTATTATTGACAAAATCACGATCTGTCAACTGCAAAAGGCCACCTTACTTGGTTCTGTGAACATCATTCGAAAATACATTACACAGTCCTAAACACTTGAGAAGTGTTTGACTTGTAATTTTGTGATATGAAATCCAGCATATATATCTCCTTTGCAGTTACCAAACATATATCCTCAAAAATTAAAATTATAAAATTATTACATTTTATAGTACTTTTTTAGAGTGTGAGAGGACAAGGAAGTTCTTACAATGAAAACACACACAAACAAAATGTTTGGACACTGGAGTATGTGCTACTCTATTCTTCTGAACTGTATTCCAGGTGCAAACTCTAATAGAAATTATATCCTTCACCATTCCAAGAACCCCACATTTTAAAACATTTTCTTCAATCTACCATGGAGAGGGAAAATACTGAAAACTCCAATTTAAAATAATAATAATAATAATAATAATAATAATAATATATTTAAAACCAGCCCTATCTCCCTGACGGGACTCTGGGAGGTTTTCAGCAAAAGGTAACAAAGTGGCAAACATTCAATGCCAAAACAACAAATAACAAACCCAAACAATAGGTGAACACATCAACATAGTAGGTGAAATGTACACAAACATGAGAGACTGAGTGTACATATAATAACGAGGCTGGCGTTCAACTTCTTGTTAACATCAGCTTCTTTTTGTCCAGAATGCCTGCCAGTATGTGTTTCTATTCACTCAGTTTTATGCCACACAATTTATGATTGCAAAAAATGGCATATACCGATAAGCATACTCTCCATCAGCCCATCCATTGCCACCTTTTGATTTCTGTAATCCCAATCGTAAATGGAGCTTACAATTTGTCCGTAATATGCATGGACAAGTGGAGGAGGGAGTGACACCTATCCATTTATTTTTAAACTCTCCTCACTTAACCTACAGAGGTGTCAACAGGGGAACCAAGCCATGTTCAACTGGCTTGAGTTATGAGCGCTTGAAAGGGGCAAAGCTCAGGGCAGCCTTGGCATTTCAGGGGCACTCACATCAACACGGTGAAACTTATCCTGAAACAAGACAACAAGTGTTGAAAGCAGCACGACTGCAAACTCTACCTGAAGCAAATGCGAGCCCAGCTCCTTCGCCACATTATCCAATGGGCCTAACCGACTCGGCTGTCCCCAGGCATCTCCAAGACCTGGAAAGAAACCGAAAACAGTATTTGAAAGATTAAAGGTACAATACTGACTGGTTGGGAGAGGGAGTTGGCGCCTCTTTCCCGGGCGAGTTAGGTGGTCGTTTCCTCAAGGAAAAAATCAGCTCCATGACATTTGAGTTAAGATTTAGAAAGAGTGTTGAAAGAACCTGGGCGGCCTACATGTTCTGAGAGGTTGAATGGCCATTTTAGGGGGAAATCCCCCTCAAAGGCACATAAGCCTCCCTGAAATTGACCAAGGGATCTCCTTCAGAGGGTCGTGTTTCCTTCAGGCAACCAACCACCCACCTTTCCAAAGGTTTGCAGCCCCCCCAGAAGCCTCCGAAGCTTAGCTTTTCAGGTCTTCCAGGGGCCATATAGGCATTTGGTCCCTTCAGTCAAACTGCTTTTGCTGCTGCCTTAGCAGACTGACCCTTCGCTTTCTTCACATTGCTTTCTGGTTCAGCCTGTTCTCTCTGTATAACTCTTTGGATAAAGATTACTCAGGCAGATATAAAAAGAAACCACTGCTGGCCTTTTCCCGCCCTTTCTCTCCAAGGACCAGTTCTGTAGCCACTCCAAATCCCCTCTACAGAAAATGGCTTCCTAACAGCTCATGTCAAATAGTTATTTGTTGATGGAGGTCAAACTGAATACCGCCGCACACTGCAGATCCCCCTGAGAGTGTTAGATTCCATATCTAATCCACATAAATATTAACAAAAACTGACAACTCACGAGTTGTCCGAGTACCAAATGAAAAAAAAAATGAGGCCCTTGCAGTTTTGAGCAAATTTATCTAAGGGTCTGTCCTTTATCCCATGAGCTCCCTCTGCAAAATAGAGAGTGCCCACACATTGTTCCCTGAAAACAAGGGAGGAATCACTACAGAGCTCAAAAAATGCGAGATTTGTAGGTGCAAGAATATCCCAGTTCTGGCCTGAAAATGCGTATCTTCAATGTCTGTATGTCCCTACACTCAGAAAACACGGGATTTTAATGTTGGTTTATTCCTGGGTTATAGATGTCTGGTCCGGACTGGTTCTATCCTAAAAACATGACAACAGTTGACTAGAGGGTGAAAACTTTATCCTGGCAAGAGAAACACACATTGAATGAAGTTTGTGCCACACAAACAAAGGTTTTGCCCTGTAATCAATTTCCCCCATGTTTTTATGATAAAAAGCAATGAGGAACAGATATGTATAACCCAGGAACATCACCCCCTACATGACCAAACTTATCTGCACATATAGCCACTCAGCCTCTATAACCCATATTTGCATCTTAATTTTTTTTTAAAACCACCAAAATTTCCGGCAGACATTCCACGGTAGCCATTTTGGGGGCTGCAAAATCCCAGAACAAAGCAGCCAGGGTGGACAACGGAGGCAGAAATCCCGGGACCAACAGGTCTGTATGTGGACCTCTTCTTAGGTCCCAGTTTTGTTTTTTTGCCCCTGACTAAAACTCACAATTTGGTGCTGTCTCGAAGCACCCTAAGAGATAGGACCATTTGGTGCCTTGTGACCCCTCATGTCTGAAAAAGCTCTATTTAAACTGGTGGGTTCTTTTATTTCAAAACAATACCGAAAAAACAGGAATCCTGTAAAAATCATAATAATTATCTTTATACAGTAACTCTGCTCTTTTTCTCTGCTTAAGTTGTATTCTGAATCAAAATGCCAACGCTTGAGTTTTGTTGCTGAAAAGAGGCCACCTTTTGCCTAATGGAAACACTGTTTGTCCTTTAAAGTCTTTGCAAATGAAAAGGCAGCTGTAGAAACTTGAAAAAGAAATGTTCTTTGCACATGTTTGGGTACCTTTTTTGCATTAAAAATATATACAAAATATCATCTAGTCTCTGAAACTTTTCCATATGCATAACATTTTCCAAATCCTGATATACTTTCTGGGACTTAGCATTTACTTCAGAGTGTAATATGGATGTATTACCAGCACAGGACTACACATACATTATTATACAAAACCCACAGGCAATTCTTTACTAAGGGCATTTTCCATCACCTGAGCGGAGATGCTTGCATGAGTGCTTTCTTCAACTCGTGTTTCAAATTACTAGTCCCTTCAGGCCTACATTATAAATGAATTCCCTTCATGACATGCAAGAGAATCTGGAAACGTCCATCCTTTCCCCAATGAATCCCCCCTTATCTTCTAAAGATTTCAGTTCCTTGCTCCTACAATGAAGTGACCACATCTTATTTGCGTTATCTTTCCACAATTGCACAAAACTGCCAATCTGAATTAATTTCCCCTTCTTTCCCCTTCCTCTGAGGATGCCAGCCAAAGATGCAGGCAAAACATCAGGAGAGAATGCTTCTAGAACATGGCCATACAGCCCAAAAAACCTACAACAACCCAGTGATTCTGGCCATGAAAGCCTTCAGCAATATTAACGTATTGTTGTTCACATTTGGAAAGTGAGATGTAATCTATACCAGAAAAATATGTAGGAAACTATTATATACAAGAATGCATCCATACTGTAGAATTAATGCATTTTAACTCCAGTTTGACTGCTATGTTTCAATGCTTTACAGTTCTGGAATGTGTAGTTTTGAGATACATTTAGCCTTCTCTATAAACTAGTGAGCATACAGTATATGTTTTGGAGAAAATCAAGAGAGTAAATAAAGCATGGGCAATGGGCAATGTTTTGTGTTTACCAAATGTTTTGCACTTAAATTTAGCATCTGGCTCTCTCAACAGAAGGCACGCACATTTTTCCACTATCCAGGCAGTATTTTGGTGTCTCTGCCTGACGAGCAAAAGCTTCACAATAAAAGGAATTATCTCTGTGGTCCACAACCCTAAGAAAGACAACATTTTATTTATAAGTCTAGCAAAAAACATTAGAAAGCTATCATCCTTCTGCTTTACTAAAGTCAAGAGAATTTTAATGAAGTCAACCACCTGAATTTGAATTGATTGTTTTGGTGTAACAGCCATTGCCTGAAGACCACAAAAGCATCAGATCCCATCTGGTCATGGAAGCTAAGCAGGACCAGGTCTGGTTAATACTTGGATGGTGACCCCTCAATCGATACCAAGTGCTGTAGACTATATTTCACAGGAAGGAACTGGCAAAACTTCCTCTGAATATTCCTTGCCTAAGAAACATTCATGTGATCCCCTTCCGTCAACAGGCAATTTGGAGACACATACACATCTATCCATCCCACTGCCTGCTTCTTTCCTCCCATCGTGGAGAATGGCATGCCAAAAAGTCAAAGCAATGTTGAAGCTACACTTAAGATGCATCTACACTATAGAACTAAAGCAGTGGTTCCCAACCAGTGGTCCGTGGACCACCAGTGGTCCGCAAGAACTAAAATATGGTCCAGGAAACATTTAAATTTTAAAACCTTTATCCATTTTAATAAATTTATTGCTACGTGGGCAACGGTTGTAGTGAGTAGGACATTGGGCAAGCACGGGAGGCCAGAGGGAGGGCAAGCAATCAACATCACGTTCCACGTACTCATGTGACCCAATGACAGTCAGCTGCCCACATTCTTTCGTCTTGCTCAGCTGTGTCAGTGATTCTATTTTGCTGTTTAGTGGTTCGATGGCTCCAGTAGTTTTACTGACTGTGAGTCCTCAATATTCATATTAAATTTTGACTTATTTAATGATGATTGAAATGAATTTCAATTGTTTTGTAAGTAAATGATGATATGCGTGTAGCTTTTAAAAATATACATTTTTATTAATTATTTTACACAAACAATCAGAAAATATATATTCAAAATAATGAAACATGTCTATATCTATATGCAAATGGCAACTTTTGTAAAATAAGCATAACATACTTTACCATTCACTAGAATTCAAGACATTTTCGAAGCAAAATCCATGCTATGTATGTAAAAGTAAAGGCAAAGGTTTCCCCTCACATTAAGTCTAGGCCTATCTGACTCTGGTGGGTGGTGCTCATCTCCATTTCTAAGCCAAAGAGCAGTGTTGTCTGTAGACACCTCCAAGGTCATGTGGCCAGCATGACTGCATGGAGCACTGTTACCTTCTTGCCAAAATGGTACCTATTGATATACTCACATTTGCATGTTTTCAAACTGCTAGGTTGGCAGAAGCTGGGGCTAACAGCAAGAGCTCACCCCGCTCCCCAGATTTGAAGTGACAACCTTTTGGTCAGCAAGTTCAGCAGCTCAGCAGTTTAACTCTCTGTGCCACCACTGCGTGTAGCTTTGAGCAATAATATTAGCTCCAGGATTACCCAACTTGTAAAAAAAATGCAAGCTCAAAAATCAAACCAAATTTAATTAGCTATTAAAAATGTTTTTATATCACAATAGTACTCTCAATTCATGTTACTATTAAGTTTAACGAATATGTTAGAAGTTTTGATTAAAGTTTATTTTTAGATTGATAAAGTTTATTATTTTTGAACCTTGTGTCCCTGCTAATAACAAAAAAAAAAATCAAAGTGGTCTCTGGTCAAAAAAAGGTTGGGAACTAACGCAACTTGACACCACTTTAACTGCCAAAGTTTAATACTATGAAATCCTGTAGGTTGTGCTTTAGGGAGGCACCAGCATCCTTCACCAGAGAAGGATAAAGACTGAAAACTACAACTCTCAGGATTATTATTATGTTTATTTATACCCCACTTTTTCTCCCCACAAGACTTCCATAGCATTCAGCCATAACATCCAAATGGGTGCCAAACTGAACTAAAATTCTATAGAGTAGATGCACTCTTACTGATATTCAAGAGTGAACCCATCCAAAGAGTGGACCCAAGGCTAAAATGCCAATGATTTCCACTGGTCTGCTTTTAATATGACCCACAATTTTCCATCCTCAGTGCCTCTTAACTTTAGCATAGTCTTCAATGTAACTAACATTAATTTCCTTGGTTATCCTCACTGGGATTGGATGAGGGGACTATCTGTATCATTATAACAGGTAGAGAGCCAACCTGATGTAGTGATTGGAGCGTTGGAATAAGGGTGCATCTA